CAAAACTTTGGGTTTAGGAATGGAGGCAAATAACAAAACAAATTTCTTCTTCAGATTTTATTTTCCATTAGAAAATGAATGCCATTTGTCTCACTTAATGACTAAAGCTTTCATATACATGAGACTATCTAAGTCAGTTCTTCTTTCAATTATCTAGTTTATTATCCAAACACATGCCTCGACTTTTGATTAAGAAAGTATGGCTGCTGAACGTCCTCTCTACCCAATATAAGTCATGAATTAGGAACGTCCTTGTCATGAAGCATACATCATTCTTTTGGGGAAATTATACTTGGCTTACCCTGAGCTTATACCCAGCATTCCTGAGTAGACCCCCATGTTTCACACCTAACAGAGTACTACAGAAAGGGGTTTTAATTCATAGTACAGAATTCTGAAAGATGTTCTATCTGAAGATTGTCCTTGGGAACTAAGAGCCGGCCAATTAAGCCTCTGCCTCTCAATTGTAGCCCAGAAAATTTGCAATCACTGGACATGGGAAAGCAAATCTCCCTGTCTGCTGGAGCCACAAGATCTCTGGCCTAGTCCTCTTCCAAAGTGTCCATTTGTTCATCCAACAAGCATGTACTGACCCCCTAACATGTTCCCAGAACTTGTTTTCTTGAGACTTGGTCTGCCTACTCTGCTTGTAGACAGCTCCTCTCCCTTCTCTTGAAATAAAACTATCATCAGTATTTGAAAAACTGAACAGAAAGCTCCTCAGAATTTTTTTTTTCTCTTTTTAGCTGTCACTTTTAAGTTCTGGTCTCTATAGCATTTTGGTTATATTCTATAGTTCTCAGTATTTAAAAATTTCATGCTTGGGAGCCTGACAAATATTCGGAATGTCTGTGGTAAAGAACACTCATATTCCTTTTCTCTTTCGGTAGCCTTTCTAATTACTCATACTGAAGATCAGGTAAAGAGAAACACTAGGCCACTCCAGCTCACCTTGGTCACCCCCCCCCCCAACACCCCAACATATCCTGTAGCACAGATTGTCCCAGTCTTTCATTTTCAAAGTTTAATGTCCAGGATTATTATCTACCTCACTCATCTTGTGTTTATCTAACCCCTTCTATAAACGAGGCACTGTTTTAAGTCCTTGAGGGGGAGGAGGTATGAACAAAACAGGGTTCCCATCATTAGTTCATTCATTAACAATCATTTATTGATTTCCTACTATATCCTAGGTGCTATGATAAGCTCTAGGGTACCGTGGTTGGCAGAAACAAGCACAGCCCTTCCCTGCAGTCGGCCACGGTGAGAAGAGACACTCAAGCACAGCTCATAGAAGAGGAAGTTAGTGTGCCCTTTCTGGAGAGTAACTGGAAATGGAACTTGTGAGGGAGGCAGACAGATATCATGTATATTGTGTTTACCACAGTATATCACACAGCACATAGTGGGTACCCAATAAATATTTGTTGAATAAAAGTAAATGACCAAATATGTAATTATAAATTGTGAGAAGTGCCATGAACTGAACAAAACAGGAGAGAATAATAGGGTAGATATAGAAAAAAGGCTGCCAGGGAAGGCCTGAGGAAGTGACATTTACACCAAGATCTGAAGAATGAGGAATAGCCAGCCATGCTAAGACTGAAGATATGAACATTCCAGGAAAGAGAGCAGTATGGGTAAAGGCTCTGAGGTAAGTAAGAGCTTGACATGTTTCAGTGCGAAGACCACAGTGAGCAAGGGAAACAGTGGTATGTGAAGAGCCACATGAGACAAAGCAGAAGTAGGTTGGGGTCTCGTAGGATATTGTAAGGGGTCTGGATTTTGTTGAGTGCAATGAGAAGTCACTTAAGGGCTGTAAATAGGGGAGTCACATGATCTGATCTGTATTTTTAAAAACCACTCTATCTAAAGTAATAAGACAATTATGGAAACAAGAGCAGAAGCAAGGACTCCAGTTAGTTGTGGTAATCCATGGGAGATGACGGCAGTTTGGACTGTTAGCTTGTAAGAGTGAGTAGGGTAAAGATGTATTATGGAGATAGAACTGACAGGCTTGTAGACAGACTGGATGTGGGGGGCGAGAGAAGAGGAAAATTAAGGATGACTTCCAGGTTTGTAGCTTAAGAAACTGGGTAGGTGGAGGTGCCATTTTCTAAGCCGAAGACGACCGGGGGTGGGGAGGAACAGTCCCGGGATATGTCACTGTTTATTTTTAACATGTTTTATTTGAAATGCCTGTGAGATATGTAAGTGTAAATGTCGAGTAGGCAGTTGAATATTTGAATCTGGAGCTTTTTAACAGGAAAGATAGGACAAGGAAGTTTGTGATAAGAGTCTTACAAATGACATAAAACTTAAATGTTCAAAGAGAAACGTCATGTCTAGTTGGGTTAATCAGAGGAATTTGAAAGTGAAAAAAAAAAAAGAGAGAGAGATGGCATTTCAGCCAAAGGAAAAATAATGAGGAAGAACATTCTAGGCAATGTGAATGGAATACCAAAGGTGGAGGAGAAAATCTTAAGGCATATTCAGAAACTGAAAAATGGTTGTTTGGATGGAATGCGGTTTCTGTCTGGAATGTTAAAAGATGAATATGGAGAGTGGTTGAATTCAGTTTACAAAGGACTTTGAGGGCCATGCTAAGGAATTTGTATTGCATTGTGTGGGTAGTTGGGAGCATTAGCAAGTCTTTGACCAGAGGCATGGCCTGATGAAGTTGTTAAAAAATAATTTAGTGACATTGAGTAGGGAGAACTGAGGAATGAGAATAGGAGATTAGGGAGGCCAGCAAAGAATCTATTTCAATTATCAAGGCATGAGGTAATAAGGACCTAAATGTTGGTCATGGAAATGAAGTGAAAGAGCAAATGCGAGAGACATTTGAAAGGAGAATTATGATTATGTTAACCTAACAAGAAAGCCATGAGGAGGCACCACTTTTTTCTTTTCAATGTCTTTTGCCTCTGCACTAGATTCAAAAACTCTGGTAAGTCTGGGAGACACTTTCCAATCTCTCCACAGTGGCATTTAACACTAGTTAAAGGGATCTCATGCTGGTATGGCTTCATAGTAAATAAGTAACAAAGAGGTAGCTTGGGTATTGAAGTGAATGGACTCACACAGGTAACCTTTGCTGGAAAAAGCAGTGTGGGGTCAGGACCAGGGACCAAAGAATGGGCTGAGAGTAAGCACTAGTAAAGATGAGTTAAAATTTTCCACCTCTTCACTTTAAAGCCCAATTGCCTGTCCTCCTTCCTATTCTGCCCCGTGCTCACCCAACAAACGCTCGCACAGACTGGACCTTCATTGCTGACTTTTTTCTTCCACCAGACTCCCATCCATATCATCCATATCTGTGCAAAAAGTCCCACCACCTCCCAGCCCCCATCTCATGAACAAGTACCGCTGAGAGAATGGCTGAATGTGCTCCCCTTCCCTCAGTAATACCAAAATGTAGACAACTGGGGCCTTGGCTATCATAATCCAAATGTCTCACATGAGAATTGATCATGCGGCAAGCTAGAGCTGAGGTGAGGTGGAGGGTAAGGGGGCAGGGGACAGCTTTAAGTACTCATCCGAATGGTGAAGCCTGACTCTGGCCTCCCCTTATTCTCTACAGTTGCAGTGGAATATCTACGATGGGCCTGCTTTCGAAGGTGATAAAGTAAGTTTAGAAAACTCTTCTGAAATAACTCCGAAGAGGAGAAATAGAACGACTACTCAAAACCTTTCCTCTGGACTAGTCAATGCTTTTGCCATTGTTTGATCCCACCTTTCTTTTATTGTTTCTCCTCTACTGCCTATTTTTCACTGTTGGTATACTTTATGTGTTCATTGTTCAACGTCTTTTGAAGAGTACCTTGAACTCTTTGGAGAGTATGTGCTATATAAATATAATAAAGCAATGAATAAATAAAATGTCTTCTTTTACAAGAGTATAAGTTTTACTCTTTCTGATACTATGAGGACTGCCCCTCACTCAACACCAGCCTGAGGAGTAGGAAGGTGTATTCTGAGAGACATCACATAGATTTCCTTGTTCCAAAATACTTTCCCCACTACTTGAAATTCCACAGCTTCATGAGATATGTTTTAAAAATTTGAGCCTTGAAGGATTTTTAAGAATCCCCTATTAAAATGCAAATACTACAGGGGTCAGTGGGCTGGTGGGTCATGATTTAACCTTAGTTCCATTTATATTAACCCATCGCGCCTACCAAACACATTTTTTACATCCTAGATTTTTCCATGCCTTTGTTTATGTTGTTCTTCCAGAGGTAATGCTAAATTTAACATAAATTATAAACATAACATTACCTTATATTTTCAGTCTCTCATTTAATATCCAAATCCAAGTCTACCCACTGTTTTTAAAAACAATTTATTTTTTGTAATGTAAGAATAACAAGTTTATTATAGAAAATTTGAAAAAGGTAGGAAGATAGAAAGAAGAAAATAATATCAACCATAGTCCTACCACCTAAGTAACAACCATCATTAACAATGTGGTCATGCTCATTCTTTAAATCTTAGTTTAGGTCCCACTGGTGTGATGCCTTCTTTGAACTTCTTCCCCCAGATCTTCTATGTCGTGTTTGTACCACTCGCTTGTACATATCATACACTTCTGTGTATAGTAAACTTGGTGTGTGTCTTGTGTTTCCAACTAGATTTTTAGATCCTTGCAGGTTGAAACCATGAGTTATACTTCTTAGCTTGTCCCCAAACACCTGGTACACTGGACCCAGTATATGCTGACTGATTTAAGCTAAATGAATACAAACCATTCAGAAAGGATATGAAATAGGCCAAGTATCTGTCATGAAAATTAAAGCTTTCAGGTTACCTAGCTTGGTGACTATTGCTTTTTCCATTTTGGGACTCATGAAAGCCTATTTAACTGGCCTCTTTCTCCACACCAAAACTGAGTAAGAAGCAGACTGATTAAGAGCCAGGATTTACACAAAGATTCTCTATATAAGGCATAAAGGTGAGAGAGAGGAGAGAGGGGAGAGAGGGGAGAAGGGAGAGAGGAGAGAGGAGAGAGGGAGAGAGAGATGTAGGGGGATGGGAAGAGAGGAGCAGAGAAGAGGAGGGCTGAGATGGTAGAAACAAGTACAAAAAGTAGACAGGCTGAAAAGAGAAGAGAAGGGCAGAGAATATATAGTCTGGTGCTCAATCCAGTATGTGATTTGCCTCCAGCACTGTGTACAGGATCCCATCCACTTGTTCTGAGTCATACCCGATCTCACGAAGCTCCAAGTGAGGGAGGACAGAAGTAAGGAGATAGCTGACGTGGATACGCAGCCGCGTAAGCTTTGCCAAAGCCCTGTATGATGGAGTGAGGGGGCAGGAGAAGAGATGACATGAAGTCATTAGCCAACAAAATAAAATGGAGCCCCTTCAAAACGGGCCTACATTTTTCAACAATTATGTTTCCATTAGCTAGAAAGGAAGAAGAAAGCACAAAGCCACCAAGCACAGGGAGACTGGCTGCAGCTTTCTAAGAAGTAATTACTCAATCTTTGGTGGCCTATGAATAAAGGCTTCCTCCCTTGTCTATGACCAGTAACTGGGGGTCCTAAGGGACGCTTCCCATTAGCACTCACAAGCTGATAACTAAACCCTAGTAATTAACCTTTCTAGGTCATCTCCCTCTGGGGTCCGGTAGGAGACCTGAGCCTTCTGCAGCACTTCCAGGTGTGTTTCTGTCTCCTTTAGTTTCTCTTTTAATTCTTGCTTTTCCTCTTTGGTTCTTTCCAGCTCCGCTTTCAGAATCTGGAATTCAGCTTGGCGGTAACCCATGTGTTTTTTGCTCCAGTACAAGCCCTCCGTCTCTTGGGTACTGTAGGTCACCAATTCATGTTGGACTTTCTTGAATTCGGAATGCCAGTGATTCCTCTCCTGTTCTAGCTCCTCCACCTGCAGTCCAAGAAACAGACATTCAATGACCCCACATACTACTGAAAGCTAAAGAATGTGTCAAAAATTGTCCCTAATATATTTACCCTGTGATTCCACTATACAGATTCTTCTAGTTATGGACCTTTTCAATCCCGAAACACGGAAGGGAAACCCATTATGGTTCACTCAGTCTGAGACATACCACAGAATAGTTCAATGACATATTTTGTTTAAAGGCCTCAGAACATAAAATCATCAGAGCACCAACACCCCAGTCCCTTGGTTACAATGATTTCTTATTCCTAGTGGTAAGGTGTTGCCCTAACCTTTTGCTGGAACAAATTCCTTTCAGCCAAAACACGTTCCAATTTTTCTGTGGTTCTCTTCAATTCTTCCAGCTCTCTCTGGTTCTTCATCTTTGGTGTATTACGACCGCCACTCTCCTCATAGCCTCTTCCTTTCTCCCCATTGGCTGCAGCAGGGATAGGAGCAGAGGCCACAGAAGAATACGGCACTGGGTTCCAGGATTCAACTGCTTTTCTTCTCTCAGCAAGCTCCTCTCTGTTAAAAGGGATCAGCTGAATGGGAGCTCCTGAATCTTTAACACCTTTCGCAACACCAACAACAGCTACAAAAGGTCCCTTGCTCACTTCTTCTTTGCTTATGCTTGTGCTACCTCTGTTAGATTCTTCTGCTACCAATCTTGGCATCTGATCTTCCAATTCTTCAGGAAGCAGGGACCCCTGGCGTTGGTCTTGGGTCCCCGGATACAGAACTGAAACCTCCCTATTCTGACCTGTATTCTTGCTTCCTTCTGGGTATTCTGGGAGAAGGTATGGTGGTGTACTTCTCTCAGAACTGGATTTATCATGACTGCTCTCCCCTTCTGAGTAGGCAGTGGTTGGCTCTACCCTCCTGTTAGGTCCAGGCATGGAATAATCTAAAGGAGGTGTTGTCATCTCATTCCGGAGCCGTCTTCGTTTCTCCACAGGTTCCTCACCTAGGATCCATTTGTACTTACTGCAAGAAGGGGAAATTAAATTGTAAGCTGTCACAATACAGGCTAAGTATACTCTTATCCTATGAAGCCCCTCCTCAAACTTCCCATATTAAAACTGCCTCTAGATGTTACCCACAGGTCATTCCAAGTTAGGAATACAACTTTACCCCCCAGGCCTCGACCTCTTCACTTATGCAATTGGCTGAGGTAGCAATTGGTAAGGGAGAGGTGAAGTTGAAAGTTGTGAATGAAGGGCTGGCCCGTGGCTCACTTGGGAGAGTGTGCTGCTGATAACACCAAGGCCACGGGTTCGGATCCCTATATAGGGATGGCCGGTTAGATCACTTGGGTGAGCGTGGTGCTGACAATACCAAGTCAAGGTTAAGATCCCCTTACTGTTCATTTTAAAAAAAAAAAAAAAAAAAAAAAAAGGTGTGAAGGGTCTGCATCTGGACATAATAGGACTAGGTTGACCTCGGTAAGAATTCTGAAAGTAGGATTGAAACCAGCCTGACTTAGAAGTTTCCAAAATGTGCAAGAAAAGGAAGACAAGCAAAAAATACACACACAAAATACCCTAACACGAGCATGGAATAAAAAGGTCATAAAAAGCCTAGTGGAGTATGCAGAGAATAGAGCCAGCTCGTTAATTTTAAAGTGTCACAAAACCATCTAGTTTCAAAGACTTTCGCACATTTTTTATATGGCAACAGAACACCAAACAATTCCTTTATCAGCCAACTGGATTGTGGCTATTGCCCATTATTCACTTGTAAAAGTTAATTAAAACACAGGGCCCTCATCAGAAACAAAGAAAGTCAATCAGCCAATTCAAGTCATTTGCCCCTTGTGACAAATAACTCCCCTCGCTCAGGCACAAGCAGGCACTCCCTCAGTTCTTCAGGAAAGCCTAGAATGATGGACTCAAATAACCTTCCATTTTTGGCTGCTATATGCACTAATGATTGAAGGAACTAACAAAACTGGCACCAGGGAAATCCATAGGCAATTTTACACCATGCAGGAGGATGGGAACCCCATTGTTATCCTTATAACTATACTGCCCTCTTGAATAACTATGAGATTTCAAGGTAAAAATCAACTTCCAAATTTTCATTGAGAGTCAGGCATGTTATGAACCACCTCATAGTACCTCAACGTTGCCCATATTTCTCTGCAATTTCTGAGAACATCTGTAAGACATCTCAAACCTTAGCTTCTTATAATGCCCCGTATGTTCTTCAGAAATAAAACTGGTCTGCCATCTTAGCAGATCTTGTGTTAGCCTTGGGGGAAAAGCAAAAGGTTTAGGGGCTAGGTAAGAATACATGTATCCACTTTTAAACATGTGTAAGGAGCACTACAGGCGGTCCATTTAGCTGTGGTACTGAGGAAGACAGTAAAACAATCATTGGCAGGTATGAAGAAAAGATACATAATACTAGATAGCAACAGAGTTTTATGAAAGGCAATTAAAGTCATATTACTTGCCTTCTCTTCATTTTCCCACCTCTAAGGGTTCTGTCCTTAAATATCTTCTCTTCTGTACCTACATTTCTTCTCTTTGGTAATCTCATACAACCTCTTGGCTACAACCTCTGGGAAATAACTCCCATATTCTCCCAAGCCCTGATCTCCAGTATTAAATTTCCAACTACCTGTCACACATTTCTTCCTGGAGATCCTACTGGTATCTCAAACTCAGTATGTATAAAATTGACCTTTAATTTTCACATTCAAACCTGCTCCCTCTCCTGTGTTTCCTATTTGTGTCACACCACCACCAAATTGTCAGCAATTTTTATATACGATCAACACTCAAGTTAAGATCTCGTTAATTTAATTTCCATGGATTTGTGAATTCCCCAAATTTCCTTCTGTTGTTGATCTCTAATTTAATTCCATTGTGGTTGGAGAGCATCCTTTGCATGCTATCCTTTTAAACCCATTGAGGCTTATTTTATGACCTAATGTATAGTCTATCCTGGAGAACGTTCCATGAGTACTTGAGAAGAATATGTATTGTGCTTTGTTGGGTGGAGTTTTCTGCACATATGTCAGGTCCAGTTCGTTTAAACGTTCTTCAAGTCACCTATTTCCTTGTTGATCTTCCGCCTAGTTGTTGGGTCCATTAATTAAAGGGGGGGTACTGAAGTCTCCAACTATTACTGTTGAATTATCTATTTCTCTCTTCAATTCTGTTTGCTTTTGCTTTGTATATTTCGAGGGCTCTGTAGTTTGGTTTTTATATTAGTTATTATATTTTTCTGATGGACTTGATCATTATGAAATGTCCCTCTTTATGTCTAGTAACATTTTCTGTTTTAAGTCTATTTTGTCTGATATTAGTATAACCACTCCAGCTCTCTTATGGTTGCTGTTTGCATGGTATATCTTTTTTCATCCTTTTACTTTCAACCTATTTGTATCTTTGAATCTAAAGTGTGTCTCCTGTAGACAATATATTTGGATATTTTTAAAAAATCCAATCTGATAATATTTGCCTTTTGATTGGATTGTTTAATCCAGTCACATTTACTGTTATTGATATGGTAGAATTTATGTATGCTATTTAGTTTTTTACTTTCTATATATGTCATACCTTCTTTGTTTCCTTGTTCCTCTTTAATGTTCCACATTTTATGCTATTTGGATATTTTCCAGTACAAGCAAACAATACATTATTATAATTATTACTTTATACAATGCTATGTCTTTTGAGGAAACCAAGAGAAGAAAGCAGAGCAAGTACATACTTTTCGTGTTTGGTGTATTAACCTTCCTATTTACCATTTTTTATTTTCGTCATTTCTGACTCTGCATCTGAGTCACTACCTGGTGTCATTTCCTTACTCCAATACAACTTTGCTTATTTGTGCCATTATTGTCAAATATTTTACATTCGCCCAATGATAAAATGATATACGTACATGCAACTATATACAAATATTTTGTTTATGTAATTATTCTTTAAATTGGTTAAGAAAAGAAATATGTCATGATAGTGTCCTTTATAATTAATTATAGTTACCTTTACCAGTACTCTTTGCTTTTTCATGTGAATTCAGATTACTGTCTCATATCACTTGCTTTCACCCTGAAGAACTCTCTTTAGTATTTCTTGTAAACCAGGTCTGCTAGCAACAAATTCCTTCAGCTTTTGTTTATCTGAAAATGTATTTATTTTACCTTCATTTCCTAAAGACAGTTTTACTGGATTTAAGATTCTTGGTTGGCAGTCTTCCATTTAGTACTTTGAATGTCATCCCACTTCTAGTGTCCATTGTTTTGATGAGAAGTCAGCTGCTAATCTTACACGGATTTTCTTGTACAGGATGACTCAAGATTTTCTCTTTGCCTTTGGCTTTTAATATTTTCACTATGATGTGTCTGGCTGTGAATCTCTTTCCATTTATTCTGAGTTCACTGAGCTTCTAAGATGTGTAGATTAATGTTGTTCATCAAATTTTGGAAAATTTCAGCCATTATTTCTTTGAATATTTTTTCTACCTTTTTTATCTTTCTCTCCTTTCCTTCTTGCACTCCTACTGTGCTTATGTTCATGCACTTAATGGTATCCCACATTTCTCTGAGGCTCTGTTCATTTTTTTCCTCTCTGTTCATTCAATTGTATAATCTATAATTGATCTATCTTCAAGTCTGCTGATTCTTCTTCCAACTCTAATGTGCTGTCAAGCCCCTTTAGAAAATTTTTCATGTCAGTTATTGTCCTTTTCAACTCCAGAATTCCCTTTTTTTATGTACATATAATTTCTTTCTTTTCTTTTTTTTTTTTTTTCTTTTTGTCTTTTTTCGTGACCGGCAATGGATCGCAACCCTCAGTGTTGCACCCGCACCTCGCTCAGCCAGTGAGCGGCTGGTCTGTATGTGGGATCCGAACCCTCGGCGGGAGCGCCATCGCACTCCCAAGCGGCGCACTGTAGCAGTGCGCCACCGGGCCGGCCCTATGTACATATAATTTCAGTCCCTTTATTGATATTGTCTACTTGATGAAACATTGACATCATATCTTCTTTAATTCTTTAAACATGGTCTCCTTTAGCTCTTTGAACATATTTATAATGGCTGCTTTAAAGTCTTTGTCTGCTAAATCCAACATATGGGTCTCTTCAAGAGCATTTTCTATTGCCTGTTTTGGTTTTTTTTTCCCTTTTTTTCTCTTCTCCCTATGTACAGGTCACACTTTCTTGTTTCTGTGCACATCTCATACTTTTTTGTTGACAACTGGACGTTTTACATAATATATAGCAATTCTGGATACTTACTCCCCCTCCCTGGAGGATTGATATTGTTGTTGTTTGCTTGGTTGTTTATTTAGTGACTTGGCTGAACTGACACCATGAAGTCTATTTCCCCTGCAGTATGCAGCCTCTGATGTGTTCAGATTTTTTTTCTTGATTTTAATCTTTTATCTGGCAACTTAGAGTTCATCATGGTTCAGCACAGGCCATTTATTGGTCAAATTTGTGCTTAAGCCCCCTTAGCCAATTAGAGTTTTACCCTTTATCATTGGATATGTGTGTGACGTGGAGGCTACTATTAAGGTTCAAGGAACTTATGTTTCTGCCCCACATTCAGCCAGGTATTAGCAACTTTGATTTCCCCTCCTCAATCACCGTCAAGAGGGCACAGCCTTAAGCATGCCCACAGTCTTCCAGGTTGCCAGGGATGTGTGTGATTTTATTCTTAAGCCTGGCTTCCTAGGAGTTGTCTCTGGATCAGGGTAGCACATTGTTCAGTCAGTGAGTAGTTGGTCACAGGTTTTGCTTAAGCCCCTAGTGCCAGTGAGCCTCCTGATCTTTGCTGTTTGAGCTCTGTGCAGCTTGGTGACTGCTTTCAAGCCCATCTTATGTCCTATTCTGATTGCTTCTGAGTGGGTGCAGCTTTGTGCTTATATAAAGCCTTCCTGACACCCAGGACTGACTATGATCCCAGGGGGGTTCTTCTTGACTGTCTTTCCCTGATTCTCTCTGTTACCAAACTTCTGGTTGCTTGGCCATTTTGCTTGTTGCAACTTGTATCATGCAGTTATGAGTGCCATCTTAACTGCTCTCCATCAAGATCTCCATTATTTTTGACAATGCCCTTAGGCATGAAATTCTCCATGCCCTGTTCCACATGAAGTCAGTTACTTCAGGCAGAGCTATGGAGTTTTTCATCTTAAGGCCTGCCTCTCTCTCTCTAAGCTCTGCAACACTGTGCAAGAGCTGGAGGCAGCGACAGTGGCCTACTTCTCCCAAAGGGAAATATCTTCTTTATGAGAGGGTGCTGGGGTGGTTTTTGGCTTGCTCCTTCCAGCATGAACCTATGACCTATGAGCAAGCTCAGGCTGGAGCAATAGGGACCCATTATTGTTGGCTTGTTGTACCTGGGTGAGTGCTTCCACCCTACAAGTGGGGGATGGGTGGGGGAAAAGAAAGCTGGGTGAGAGAAGAAGACCCAGTCCTTTTGGGTCTGCCTGGAATAGAGCTTCTACAAGACAGAATTGGCGGAGATGAGAAAAGCCAGAGGCCAGCCCCTCCCAGGTGAAACAATATTAGACAGGGATCTAGGAGAAGAGGAAATCCCCATCATCTTGACTACACCCACTGAATTAGAGCTCCTTGGAGTAGTTTTCATAAAACAGAGCTTGGAGGGGGATGGGAGCAGGTTGTGGTTCAAATGACAGATTCTTGCTATTCTTCCTGAGATTTAGTAGATTTTCTTGAAAAAAATACTTCTCTATTTGCTGTATGCTCATAGGACAATTTCCAGAAACTCCTGAATGATTTTTTTAAAAAATAATCTTTTCAAGTTAAAAAATTATTTGTTGATAAGAGAGTTTACTGCACTCCTCATTTCTCCATTCTGAAAATTGCTCTCTCAGATATTTCTAAATGTTAATACTGGACCCTGAATCAATCTTATTCATTTGCAAAATTGTTCTTCTATTTCTACCCCTTGTTTGCTGTTTCAAATATTCTTCAAAATATATTGAAATGTCTCTCCTCCTCTCCCTCTACCATTATAGTGTACTTCAGATTTTTTTTTTTGTCATCCTTTTAAAACATGAACTAATTAGCCTCTGACATGTGGCTTACTCAAAATATCTAATTAAATAAATTACAGCCACTAATTATTGCCTTTGTCCATATGCTTATAGCTACTTTAGACCTTATTTTGTACCACTCATAAGAAAACTAGCATGTGTTGGGGATACTTACATATCAAATTGACTACTCTAAGCTCCTTCATCTTTGATCCCATCACTACCCTAGAACAGTGCCTTTTATACAGTAAGCACTTAAATATATACAGAATAAATGAACGGAAAAAGATTATTTCCTTCAACAGAAATAAGCTCTCTTCCTCAAAAGGTTATGCCAGCTTACATACTGGCTTAACCTATTCTTTATTGCAGGTCTTCTGCTTCTCTTGTTAGATTTGTGAGATTCACAAAGCTTTTACAGTGACACTTCTGGAGCCTTTGTTAACCTATCCCACTAGAACTTCCTGAAGTTTTCTTGGATAGTATAGGCTTTATTTTATCTAGAGTTAGTAAGTTCAACTACATGACTCAAGGACCCTTATGAGCTTCAGGTTTTGATAATAACAAAGGAGACTTTAGCAACTCTTGATTAAACCTATTATTCCATTAATACTATTTTAGCAGAATCCCTGTATATCTTACTAAACTCTTGAGCACCTCCATTTTCCCCCATAAAAGGGAGATTCTCCCCAATCAATTTGAATCCCCCATACATGTAGCATGAAATGGCACAATCATCATTTACTGACCTTACATTACATATGTGACATTAGCAGCATCAATCATCACGTTTCTCTTATCATGTATCTCTTCTCTTGAAAGAATCTTATTCTCAATAAATTAAAATTACACATGAATGGTCAAAGTACCTTACCTGTCCTCTACAGCCAAAACCTCACTCTGGATATAGTATTCCATAAAAACTCATACAAAAATCTCAATAAAGACTGATTAAGTATGCCACCCAATGGATGTACTATTGTACTGCACTCATAAAATACATACATGAATTAGCATTTGTAATCCCCTTGAGGTTACCAAAACCACTAGAGTTACAAAAGAAACAACGGGAAAAAAGGAAAAGTGGTCGTAGTAGGGAAAGGATAGCCTTCAAGAGCAATGACACCTGATACTCCAGGGGCAGTGGTGATATATAAGCATCTCCAGGAGGCCAAGGTAGAGAGGTAACAGTATTCTTCAAAATTTTATTAGCTTTGCTCCTAAAGCTTAATTCTCTTGAGACTTTTTGTTTATGCTCAGGAAGTCATGGAGTTCTTCCAATATCTATGGGGCGTAACTGTGGAAGAATCACTGAATAGGGGACTTGCAAACTTATAGAGATGTTTATCTAGATGAGAGGCTGAAAAGACCAACCTAAGAAGCAAGAAAACAGGGGAAGAATCAGTAACACTGGAGGAAAAAAAATAAACCAGGATTCATTTTACCCTATTATGTATTCCATTGCCTCTATCCTACAATATGTTAAGAAGACATCCAAACTGATAAGGGTCACTGAAAAGTTCACATCCCACTATATAATAGTCACATTACCAAAGACTGTAGAAGTTTCTATTATTGGAAAGCAACTCTGTGCCTACCCTATGGTTCGGCCTTGCCAGAGTGAGAAGCGCAGTAGAGAGGAAAAAGCAAGGAGTCACAATTAGGAGCACTAAATTCAGTCACATGGCAGTTTAGGGGCAGTCACATCTTTCAGTGCTCCAAACACTCCTGATATTTAAGAAAAAGGAATAGTAATGCTCCATCCTGTTATGAAGACAAGCAAAATAACAATAATGAGGTGCTAGAAGTTGAGTAAGTAAAGCCTAGGACTAAACTTATAATTTACTCTAGGAAACAATGAACGATAAGGCTTACCTAATGGCACAAACTTCTAATAGTTACTTTAACATGCAGTCAACATGTGCTAGCTTTATAAGGCCCCAGAGGACTCCAATATCCATAAACTTAAGGAAACAAACAATGCTTATCTATGTACCATTACCTTGTTTGTATAATACTTTATGCTTTTCAAAGAGTCATCATGTCCATTATTTTACTCACACAATTCCCAATATAATGTGAATACATAATACATAAAAAAGAGGATTAGCAAATGATCACCTCAAAAAATATACAGACTTCACATAGCAGGTGTAGTGTTGAAAAACTGAAATCGTGTTTCTCCTTCTGAATTTCATGTTAGGCTTTAGGAAAAACATAAACACAATAAAACATAACAACCAACTCTACAGGAAAATAGACCTTGAGGCTTACTATTGGCAAAAGACTATGTTTTTTAGTTACCTGGAAAACTGAAAAACACTGGAATCCAGAGGCTTTAGTTGAAGAGAAGGTGACCTGCTTTCTTCTCCAACAGATGGAAGCAGGCTAGGGCTATCAATTCCCTCATATCCAACTGTCTTATTATTCAATCCTGCCATATCTTGAACAGTAGGGATCTTCAGTGGATCACTGAATACCTAGGAAAGAAAGAAATTATTCATAAAAATCCCAAATTCAAACCAAATACCAAAGGATGAGTCAATCCTTCTGATGCTAGGAAAAGAATGCTTAGCCAAATAAAAAGAAACTGTTTCCTACACAAAACAAACAGCGCACAGTAATGTACACTAGAACACTGATCCCAGGCACTTTTGTCATCAACCTTATTAGCTGGACACCAAACAGACCTCCCCCAACTCACTTATTGGCTCCTAGAGTGATCCCACCCACAACATAAACCCAAGGCCCCTAATCACTGTCTAATTCTCTCTTGTGACCCAGTTGAAGGCTGGGTTTTTACTCCTCTGAGATCTGTGATGAGGGTAGGGGTGAAGGGAAAAAGCATTGCAGCAAGTGTCTGTGTCGGTTTTGGAGATATGCATGCAAGGACCAACATATATTTATAGTGCACACACACAAATACATGCACCTTGGATCTCGTGGGAGAGACAGATTATGACGATAGTATGAATGATTAAGGCAAAGGAATATAAAGAGGAGGTAAACTGAATGAGGACAGGGCAGTCCTAGGAAAATCTCCCAATCTCTATATAAGACTATCAACCCAAGACGTTAGGATATGAAACCTGATTATTCATATGCCTAGGTCTTGGCAGGATATCAGAAGAAGAATTAGTATTAAATTGCCTCTATCCTCACCAGTCTGACCTATTCTGATTGAGTGGGTGGAAGATGAATCTAACATGCGACTAGCAGAACTCTCTGGGAAAGAGGGTCAAGAGGGAAATCATGCAGAAAGACAAGGTTGGGTGGGGAAGATATATGGGTGCTATGGTGGCTGTCAGGAAAGGAGTGTCCCTGAAAGGACGGCCAACCTTATTGCACCCTTCAGCGTCCGGAGCTGGGCAACCATGTCCGAGAGAAAGTGCTCCTGAAAATTCAAAACAGCAGAGTCTTTACAAAGCCAGCCAGCCTGAAAGCAGGGATCAGGGAGGGGCACAAAGAACCACCCCTTCTTCCCAAGAGGAAAGAGGAAGGAATCACCCCTGAATCCTGGAAGAAAGGAGACAGGAAAACCAAATGCTCAAAAGGAACAGCCTGTATGAGGATGGAATATAACCCTGAATATTCTGTGACACTGAATGTGACATTCACACTGTCCAGAGTCAGTACTAAATCCAAATCTTTTGGTGATCTGAACATCAGTAACAGCAGATCAAAGCAAAACTAAAAGATCCAATGGAAAAAAGATCACCAGAAGAAATGATTATTTCTATGCAACTTTCAAGATTGCTGCTTCCTTCAGCCTGTGTCCTCTGTTGGGGAAAACTGTGTGTGAGAAAGAAAGGGGGTGGACTGTATCTCACCTGATGGTTCTCATTTTCCATAGGTACCTTCTTTTTCTCGACAGTTTGATCTCTAGGAGAAGATAAAAGCGCTATTTAGTTCACTCATAAAACTTCCCAGTTAAGAATGGATTACCAATTATAGATTTAGGTTATACTCTTCCCTCCAAATAGAAATAGTGTGAGCCTCATTGAGTAACTAAGGGTGCCTTCCTGAACTATGCTACAGAAAAGAGATTTCAAATAACCCACCAAAGAGAAAAACAGACTAAAGATAATCACTAGATGAGATATTCAGGAGATGGTTAAAAGGAATAAAGAATTGGGAGAGCAGAGAGAAAAGGAGGGAAATCATTTAGAATAAAGAAAAAAAATTATCTCTCTTTTCAAAACTCTCCTGTCCTATTAGGAAGGGTCAGGCTCCTCTACTCCATGATACAGAACACCACCTCAAGTATACTCAACTGTTTCTTAGCTTTGCTCAAGTACAGGTCTTCGTCAATGAGTTCTTGTTCCTCTGGAACAGAGCATCTCCTGCAGTATAGAGAAGAAATCATCTCTTGGAAGCAAAATATATCCTTCACTTTTACCCTTTACTTTCCTTACAACTATGACAAGGCAGATTGACAACCCTCTAACATTATGTAGTTCAGATCCCACCCACATTACAAAACCTTGCTATATGTAAAGCATGAGAAAGAATTTCCGGAGTAAAAACTGAAAGGAGTACTAGAAAATTTATTTAAAGATCAAAAGTAAATCTAGAAACAAACAAACAAAAACTAATTATAGTATGAAACTATGTTATACCCATTTTATAAGAGGGTATATTGGCTTAGAAGGCTATGTTGCCTGGACTACGTGTAAATAGATAGGAGATAGAATATTCAAAAATGAGATTTCTAAGCACTCAGTCTCATATTCTAACCTCTCATTTACTCTCCATGAAAGGGTGCTTAGGCACATCTGGAGACTATGAGAGAATGCTTACACATTATAGACCTAGACTTCATTTATTTAATTTCTTCCATTTTAGACACTTTTCTCTAAAAAGCATAATCCATTTTAGCATCCTTTTTCTATGAATATTTATCTTGCAAAAAAATAATTTTAAGAAAGTCACAACCAGCAAATAGAATTGAAGCAAACTGACTTATGAACCTATGGACTACTGAATTAATTAAAACAAGAAAAATTTGTTAAATTGAATTTAAAATCCATGGATAGGCCAGGCACTATTTAGATGCTAAACATTGCAAGGAACATACAGTACATTAGGAACAAACACGTAAACAAATAGCATTGAATGTACAACAGGTACTATGACACTGATTCCCTATGGGAGGTATATGAAGAAAACCCTCGACTCAACCTAGACTGTAAAGCCCTTTTTCTGAAAGAGTTTAGAACCTCTTGAAGAGCCAAAGCATAAATAGATGAAAAATATCCAAAAAATACAAAACAGTATTTGAACAAATGTCATGAAACAAATACCACAGGAAGTCAGAATAAAATCACTATAAACCATTGTCAACAGGAAAAGCTTCACACAAGACTTAGGTTCCCCAGATGACTATGATTTAGATAGGCAGATGGAACACAGGTCATTGCAAGCAAGAAAAATGACACTATCAAAGTCATGGAGGAGAAGTAAGCACAGCATGTATGTGGAATAGTCAAGCCACAGGCCTGGCTACAGTATAGGGTTTGTATTAAGGTACAGTGAAAAATAAGGCTAGATAGGTAAGGTGGGGTGAGTTAGCACATGGTCTTGAATGCCTGACTGAGGAGTGTGGACTTGAGATACAAGTCTTTTAGAATATAGAGACTCAGAAGAGATAGAAAACCTGAATAGACCAATAACAAGCAACAAGATTGAAGCAGTAATCAGCAATCTTCCAAAAAAGAAAAGTCCAGGTCTGGATGGCTTTACAGTCAAATTCTATCAAACTTTTAAAGAGGAGTTAATACCAGTTCTCCTCAAACTATTCCAAAAGATTGAAGCAGAAGCTACTCTCTCAAACTCATTCTATGAGGCCAACATAACTTTAATACCAAACCAGATAAAGACACAACAAAAAAAGAAAATTACAGGCCAATATCCTTGATGAACATAGATACAAAAATCCTCAACAAAATATTAGCAATCAGAATACAGCAACACATCAAAAAAATTATACACCATGATCAAGTGGGATTCATCCCAGGGAGGCAAGGATGGTTCAACAATTCAAGGAAAGTCAATAAATGTGATACATCACATCAACAAACTCAAGGACAAAGACCATATGATTATCTCAATAGATGCTGAAAAAGCATTTGATAAAATTCAACATCCCTTCATGATAAAGGCTCTCAACAAATTAGGTATAGAAGGAAAGTATCTCAACACTATAAAAGCCAACTATGACAAGCCCACTGCCAGAATCATTCTGAATGGGGAAAAACTGAGGCCCTTTCCCTTAAGAACACTCTCACCACTTCTATTTAATAAAGTGCTGAAGGTACTAGCCAGAGCAATCAGGCAAGAAAAAGAAATAAAGGGAATCCAGATTGGAAAAGATGAAGTCAAACTGGTTCTATTTGTAGGTGACATGATACTATATATAGAAAAACCTATCAAAAAACTCCTAGAGCTGGTTAATAACTTCAGTAATATTGCAGGATACAAAATAAATTCCTAAAAAGCAGTTGCATTTACATACTCAAATAATGAATTAACAGAAAGAGAAATAAAGTAAGCAAGCCCATTTACAATTGTCACAAAAAAATACCTGAGGATCAATTTAACCAAGGAGGTGAAAGATCTCTACAGCAAGAACTACAAACCACTACTGAAATAAATTAAAGAAGACACAAAAAGATGGAAAGATAGTCCATGCTCTTGGATTGGAAGAATTAACATTGTGAAAATGTCTACACTACCCAAAGCGATCTACAGATTCAATGCAATACCCATCAAAATACTACTGACATTCTTCACAGAAATGGAAAAAACAATCTTAACTTTCATGTGGAACAACAAAAGATCCTGAATAGCTAAAGCAATCCTGAGCAAACAAAATAAAGCTGGTGGCGTAATACTACCTGACTTCAAATTATACTACAAAGCTATTGTAACTAAAATAGCATGGTACTGATGTAAAAATAGATAGTCAGACTAGTGGAGCAGAATTGAGGACCCAGAAATCACCCCTCAGGCTTACAGCCATCTGATATTGGACAATGGCAACAAAAATCTACATTGGAGAAAAGACTGCCTCTTCAACAAGTGGTGCTGCCCAATTGGATATCCATATGCAGAAGAATGAAACTAGATAAGCACTTCTCACAATATACTAAAATCAACTCAAAATGGATTAAAGACTTAAGTATAAGACCTGAAACTATAAAATTATTAAGGGAAAATATAGGTGAAACACTTCAGCAATTAGGTCTGGGTACAGACTTTATGAATATGAGCCCCAAAGCACAAGCAGCAAAAGAACAAATAAACAAATGGGACTGCATAAAACTCAAAAGCTTCTACACAGCAAAGGAAACAATCAACAGAGTGAAACAACAACCTACAGAATGGGAGAAAATTTTTGCTAACTATGCATCTGACAAGGGACTAATATCCATAATATACAAGGAACTAAACAATTACACAGTAAAAAAAAGAAATGACCCAATTAAATAATGGACAAAGGAGCTGAATAGACATTTTTCAAAGGAAGACATACGAATGGCCAATAGGTATGTGGAAAAATGCTCTCAACATCACTAGTCATCAGGGAAATGCAAATTAAAACTACATTGAGATACCATCTCACCCCAGTTAGACTGGCTATAATCAAAAAGACAGTGAATGACAAATGCTGGCGAGGGTGTGGAGAGAAGGGAACGCTCCTGCACTGTTGGTGGGACTGTAAATTAGTACAATCACTATGGAAAACAGTATGGAGTTTCCTCAAACAACTACAGATAGATCTTCCATACGATCCAGCAATCCCACTTCTGGGTATATACCCAGAGGAATGGAAATCATCATGTCAAAATGATACCTGCACTCCTATGTTCATCGCAGCTCTGTTTACGATAGCCAAGACACGGAACCAACCTAAATGTCCATCGATGGATGATTGGATAAGGAAACTGTGGTATATATACATGATGGAATACTACCCTGCCATAAAAAAGAATGAAATTCTCCCATTTGCAACAACATGGATGAGCCTGGAGAAACTTATACTGAGAGAAATAAGCAAAGCACAGAGGGATAAATGCCACATGTACTCACTTGTGAGAGCTAAGAGAGAAAGAAGGAAAGAAAGAAAGTCCATAGTAGTACCTAGGGATACAAAGCAGAGTTGGAGGGAAATGGGAGGGGCAGGAAAGTGGCGGATAATTGGGTGGGGGACATGGGGTACAAACACAATTTTTGGTAAGGTGCATGCTGCCAGTATGGATCTGGCCTTCACATCTTGGGCATGAAGGGTGACAGTCAGCTTTGTATCTTATGAATATTCATAACCAATAATAAAAAAAAAAGAATATAAAGACTCAGGATTTATCTTGGGCATAATTGTGAGTCCTGGAACCTTACTTGTACTTTGGATGAGAATTATAGTAACAAAACCATCTTGCAGGTAAGGTAGACGGATCAACCTTGCCAGGAAGCTTCCTCCATTTAAGACACTCATCACACTGCACCCATGTCTGGTCAGGGATCTTCCTGAATGAAAGAAAATAGAAGCGTGATCATGTGTATCCTAGACCTGAGCTTTGTCTTATGTTAGAAAGGCATGCCCTAAAAATGAAAGAATCTAATTTTATATACAAAATGTTAGAAATGTTATAGTCTAGGTGTATAAAATATATATATTTTGAACTTCATAGATGAAATAATAGAACTATACCAGATATAGATATGAAAAATAATAACAAGTATTAACATGCTGAGCTACCATTATTTATGGGGGTCAATAATATTTATATTAGAATCTCTTGTTCTAAGCAAACAAGATAATTTTAACTCTAAAATTTATTTACTTGGAAATCATTTTATATATATTATGATATTACCATGAAATAAAACCTATAGAATCATTTTATTTGCTTCTGTCCAATCATGTAATAGGTTTAAGATTCATTTATGGGAGTAATTGAAGTGTCATCAAAATGCCTCCCCCCATTTCCCTGCAGAGATTCCCTATTCCTCTTCTTTTCCTCTTTCAAAAGAAACCTTTGTTTATAATATTTTAATCAAAATTTTTTAGGTTGATATTTCCAAAGTTAATCCTAAAAAGTAATATAAATTTGATTAATTTTCATAACCAGAAATGGTGTCTCCAGACCAGCAATTGGGATAAATTATTAAGATAAAACTCTTCCAGAGTTCAACTCTTAAAATGCATACCCACTCCCAACCCTCCCAAGAAGCATAATCCAGTCAAGTCACCTATACCTTAGAATGAATTTGTTTCTTTGTGACAAAAGGTGGTCTGTATATGATAGAAGTATCAGTACCTAAGGAGTGCAAGGCAGGCAGAAGTGGGAAGTAGAGAAGCTGGAGAAAAGACACACAAAGTGGGGAGAGGGGCACCTTGGGCAGATTTCACCAACATGTAATTTAGCTTAGAGTGGGTTTTGCATATGTTACATTTATACCGCTCAGGTCAATAATTTTCATATTTTAAATAGTGATTTTTTCTAGTTATAAAAGTAATATAAGCTCATATGGAAAAATTTAAAGAAGAAAATAAAAGGTACTAATAATTCTATCACTCAAATATAACGTCCTCTTCTTTTTTAAAACTCTATTTTTACAAAGTTTGCACAGATTTTTAGATCTATAGCTTCCTATCTCCTAGCTCCAGACTGCTCCAGCCTTGCAATCTCCAAGCTCTAAGCTCAGGCCTGACCTCTGGTGTCTATATATTTCCAGATAGCTGCTGTTTTATTTAGAGCCAGAGCCAGCAAAAAGCAGTTTCAGCAGTAGTGGGAGGGGAGAGGAAAGGTCATATTAGCTTTGGTTCTATGTGCATATGCACAAAAGAGTCTCTTGCAGAATCATGCCGCTATTACTCTCTCGGGGACAAGCACAATTGGAGGCAGCAACTCTCTGCTACAGGTTATATGCAGACCATGGTAGATCCTTCAATCCCATACAGGTAGGAGCGGCTTTTAGCTCATGCTTGCAATAAATATGTAGTTAAGGGGACTGTAATATACTCTCCTCACTATATCCCTCCAGAAGAGTGTAGTAGTTAAGAACTTAGGTTTGGGGGGCCTGATTGCCTATATTTGAACCTTGGTTCTATCATTTTCTACTTGTCTAATCTTGGGCAAGTTACTTAAGTTCTTGGTGTATCAGTCTCTACATCTATAAAGAAGAAATAATATCTATCTCATAGGGTTGTTGTGATGATTAAATGAATTAGTACATGTAAAGAACTTAGAATAGTGCCTGGCATATAAGTAAATACTCAATAAATAATAACTGCTGACCAGTTGGCTCAGTTGGTTAGAGTGTGGTGCTGATAACACCAAGGTTTAGGGTTGGATCCCCGTACTGGCCAGCCATCAAAAAAAAAAAAAAAAAAAAAGATTAAAAAAAATTATTATAATTCTGCCTCCAGCACTCATACTTTCCAGCAGTATACGAACATCAGTTTCACTGCATTAATCATTGCTAATTTGAAAGACAAATAAAATGGCATCTTATATTAACTTGCATTTCTTTGAAAACCATAAAGGATAGACATAAAGTAAAAATTTTAAAATAAGAACATGATGATACACATACAGCCACCAGGGTGCATTTGAAACAAAATTTTATATATTTGTCTGATTTCCTTTTTTTTTTTTTTTTTTAAAGATAACTGGTAAGGAGATCCTATCCCTTGACTTTGGTGTTGTCAGCACCACGCTCTCCCAAGTGAGCTAACCTGCAATCCCTATATAGGGATCCGAACCCATGGCCTGGGTGTTATCAGCACCACACTCTCCCGAGCCACGGGCTGGCCCATCCATTTTAAAAAAACACAGGTACCTACCCCAAACTGAACTTACAACACTCTAATCTTTGTCTTGATGGTGGTGTAACTGACTGTATACGTGTCCTTCTGTCCTCTGTATTATGCTCCTTTCCTGACTTACTGAGACATTTCATCCTGTTCTGTGTAATTCCCTGTCTTAGATCCTTCAATAAATTCTACTTTTATCTAATATGATTTGTTCTCTATTTCTACTCTCAAAAATGGGTGTACTGGGAATAAAGAGAAGGGAAGTTTGCTAACATGTCTGAATACCTACTATATGCCAGGCACTGTGCTAAAAATGTTATGTCACCTAATTTAATATACTCAGGTGCAATGACTGACTTACCCAAACTCACCCAATTATTAAGAAGCAGATCTAGATTTTCAAGCCAGGAGTGCCATCATCTTTCATATATCACACTCGCTGTACTAAACTGACAGTACTAAATGCTTCACATTTATGATCCAAACCACACAAATGTTAAACCATAATGAAGAGGTTTAGAGAATAATGCAATTAGTACCTGTGATTTCCTAGTTTTATTTAATTAAACTTTCTTATGTGAAAAGCACCATCTTACCCTTGTTTCTTCCATTTGATCTATAGACATTACCCCTAATACTTTCATATTCTATATTTATTACTCACGGTATTGGCCTAGCTATGGCTGAGGTTGCAAAATTCTCTTGAGATGTCTTTTCCTTCCAGTAAGCATTGAGCTTCTGGGCAAGGGCATTTATTGTCAACCTGAAAGAAAATGCAAGAAGTAGTATGTCAAGATTCAGTACTTGTTGAGTAATTTTTCAATTTTTGAGAGGCTCCATTTAGCAGAAGACCACAGTTTAGAATATTCAGCACAGTTTTGAACATCTACACTTTAAGAAACTCAGGAATCCACTGCCTTTGCAAACAACATGTCAAAATGACAAAGTTGTAATTTTGAATAGTCACTTTGGTTAAAAAGGTAAAATGGTCATAAGTCTTAAAATGTAGAGTTCTACAAATTTTCAGGGCTTATAGAATCATGGAAGGGATGAATAAATTGACATCACAGACTATGATAGAGGACCAAACTGCAGAGCTAGGACAAAGCCAAATCCTAATAAGTTGACAGGGAGTTATTTGATTGTCAGATGACTACGAGTAAATAATTTGGAATCAAAGTGAAAGTCAGATAATCAAATACTGTACTCTATCCATTATAAAACAATCAAATATTAATTTTAATATTTCTGTACAGTTTTTCTTCACCCAAATGCTGATCATAGCACCAATGGGCAATAATCCCTCTTTAATATTCTACTATACAGCTATTATTGGAGGTTATATCTGAGTTCTGGCTCTTGCTCTTTCTCCTTTATCTCCCTTCTCAAATGAATAACAGCAGACCCAGTGTCAACAGCAAATATAACTTGCAAAAGTCAAAACCTTAATTTTACTTTTAAAAACTGCCAACTTTCTAATTACTAATTCCTGTTTAATTCTACAACCCAGGATTACAACTTAATGTAGAGCTATACACACTTGGAATGCTGCAAATTTAGAATTTAAAACTTTTAAAATCACTTAACCCCCCTGAGTCATTCCTCAAGGTTTTTGCAGCCCTCTTCTCTTTTTAAGAGGAACACTTTTTTTTTTAAACCTCCATCTTACTCATATTAAATTGGATTCTCACTGCACAGAGACTATTAAAGTAACTCTTATTCCCCTCCAACATACCAATGTTTCTACCTCTATGTTTATATCCTTCCCTCAAGTTGCAGATGAAGTCCTTGCTTCCTCTTTAAAAACCCACATAAAATCTACTTTAAAAATAAGTAAATTAGGCTTCTGGGAAGATGGTAGAATTGGAAGCAGTGGAATCTGGTTCCTCACCTAGACAACAACTGCACTTTGCAGAATCTGCCTGATGTAACTATTTTGGATCTCTGGAGTCTATTGAAGGTTGCAACTTCCAAGGAAAGGCTTGAATGGTAGATGGTGGTTAATTTTGATCAATTTCAGTTCTTAGCACAGTAGCAGCTACACATCCCTCACCCCTAGCCTTGTGGCAGGCAGCCCTGCATGTGTTCCAGGAGGAGTTTGTAGAAGCCAGGGTGGGCAAAAAGAATGCTGTCCTCCAAATATCAGGGATCTGTGCTCTAATCACTGATTGCTGCTTCTGATCACAGAAGGGCAGAAACATTGCAGGCAGCACGCACTGTTGCAAGCCTCTCCTCTGCAACTGAAGTGCCATCCAGGGGACTGGATAGCACCTTCTTTTTCTTCCTTCATTTTTCTTTTTCCCCTTTTGAAAGCCAGATAAAGACTAGAACATTCAAAAGCAATCACATATATGGGGAAAATCAGAAAGTCACTGTGAACGCCCAGGCAAGACTCAGGTTCAGAAAAAAAGAGGACCTTAAGTTTACATCTCTGGCTGATCCTCAGTACAGAGACAGCCTACACCAAAGAAACGAAAACAAAAACAAAAAACAGTAAGCCCTGGGAAAGATGGAGAATCTGATTTCCAGAGTTACAACATTATTAGATTCAATGTCCAGTTTTCAACAAAAAAATCACAATGCATAGGGGCCAGTCTGTGGCTCACTCGGGAGAGTGTGGTGCTGATAACACCAAAGCCACGGGTTCGGGTCCCATATAGGGATGGCCGGTTTGCTCACTGGGTGAGCGTGGTGCTGACAACACCAAGTCAAGGGTTAAGATCCCCTTACCGGTCATCTTTTGAAAAAAAAAAAAAATCACAATGCATATAAGGAAACAGGAAAGTAGTGACTATTCAAAAGAAGAAAGAAAAAACAAAAAACATCCCTGAAAAAGACCTGATGACAGATCTATTAGACAAAGACTTTAAAACAACTGTCTTAAAGATGATAAAGGAACTAAAGGAAGAGTAGAGAAAGTCAAAATGGAAATATCAATAAAGAGTTAGAAAACCTACAAAGAAAGCCTAGAGCTGAAAAGTACAGAAACTGAAATGAAAAATTTACTACAGGGATTCAAGAGCAGATTTGATCAGGCAGAAGAAAGAATCAGTGAACTTGAAAATAGGGAATGGAAATTATTGAATGTGAGGAACGAAAAGAATAAAAATTGAAGAAAAACGAACAAAGTCTAAGGGACTTGTGGGATACCATTAGTGGTGCAACATATGCACTGCAGAATTCCAGAAAGAAAAGGGAAAGAGAGAATATTTGAAGAAATAATGGCTGAGAACTTCCCAAATTTGATAAAAGACATGAATATAAACATCCAAGAAGCTCCACAATCTATAAGTAGGATGAACTCAGAGGGACCCACACCAAGACACATTATAATCAAACTGTCAAAAGCCAAACACAGAGAGAATCCTGAGCAGCAAAAGAGAGGCAACTCATCACATACAAGGGATGCTTGGAGTCTGTAACTCCACTTTGTTTTCTACATGATTTAAGAGAATACATTTAAAAGAAAAAAAATTATGCATCTAAAAGCTAGTATTATTGTAACTTTGGTTTATAATTCCACATTTTGCTTTCTACATAATTTAAGAGACTAACGCATTAAAAATTACTTGTTCGTGCTTTGGACATACAATGTATAAAGATGTAATTTTGTAACATCAACAACTAAGAGGGGTGGTGATGGAGTAGGAGCAGAATTTTTGTATGTCATTGAAGTCAAGCTGGTATAAATTGAAATTAGAGGGCTGGCCAATTAGCTCAGTTGGTTACAGCATGGTATTATAACACCAAGTTCAAGAGTTTGGATCCTCTTACTGGCCAACCACACACACACACACAAAAAAATCCACAAAAGAAGACAGCAATGTAGGAAATGAGTCGAAAAAGCTATAAGGCATATAGAAAACAAACAACAAAATGACAAAGTCTCTCCCTATCAGTGACCACTTTAAATGTAAATGAATTAAACTCAGATTTACAAAGAGATGATGTAATCAAAAGGATCATAGCAGATTTTGGCACCAGAAAATGGGATGCTGCTGGAACAAAAACCTAAAAATATGGAAGTATCTTTGCTGACAGTATGAATCTGGCCTTCATATGTTGGGCACGAGGGGGTGACAATTAGCTCTGTATTCATGAATATTCATAACCAATAATTTTAAAAAAAAGATTAACCATGTGACTCACAGGTCTCCATAGCCATCTTAGCTGAAGCCAAGAATAAAAATAGGATTATCTATAGCAAAAACCTGTCAAGAGCCTCTTGTTGAATGGGGTGAATATCCATGACACACATGGGAGACTCACAAGCTTTTTTAGAATGGCACATTAACACAAAAACATCTAGCTTGGACTGAAATGGAAAGAATATAAAGTGAAAGACTGTTGGGCCCTCAAAATTCTACAATCAGGAAACAGGCTGATGAAACTACTCAGCTGCAAACACATTCTACCTTTCATGAAAATGGAAAGATGACTTCAAGGGTGGAGCTGTAAGCCCAGAGGGCAGAGCCTCAAGACTAGAGGGCAGAGCTGCAAGCCCCAGAAAATTATTCCCAGGCCTTGAAATATAATGGGATTTGCCTAGTTTGATTTTGAAATTGTTTGAAACCTGTAACTTCTTTTTTCCTTCCATTTTCTCCCCCATTTGACCTGGAATATATATAATTGGTGTCCTATTCCTATACCACCACTGTATTTTAGGTACGAAAAAACAAAACAAACACAAAAAAGAAACAAAAAGGACATATCCACAATTGGAGAGGAATTTGCTCCAAGATGCGTCATACTCAGAGTATCACCCATATGTGACTTAGATAATGGGATTTGGGACTTTTGACCCAGTGACATTTAGATGAAATTTTAGACTCTGATTTGATGCCATAATGGGTTGAGACTTCTGGGGATGTTGGGATGGGGTGAACATATTTTGCATGTAAGATGTAAGTGAATCTTAGGGGACAAGAGGGCAGACTGGTAGACAGAATAATGGTCCTCCAAAGATGTCTATGTTCTAATCCCTGAAACCTGTGAATACATTAGGTTACATAGCAAGGGGCAATTCAGGTTATAGATGGAGTTAAGGTTACTCATCAGCTGAACTTAAGATAGAAAGATTATCCTGAATTAGCCAATGTAATCACAAGGGTCCTTAAAAGTAGAAGAGTGAGGCAGAAGAGTCAGAATCAGAGAAAGAGATGTGATGACAAAAGCAGGGTCACCATAGTGATGCGATGTGAAGAGTTCTCTTCACTCAACCCATGGGCCATGGGCCAAGGAATGATGGCAGCCTCTAAAAGTTGGGAAAGGCAAGGAAACAGTTTCTTCCTGAGAGCCCCCAGAAAGGAATACAGCCTACCAATACCTTGATTTTTGCCTGCTGAGATCTGCGTCAGACTTCTAACCCACAGAACTCCAAGATGATAAGTTAGTATTGTTTTAAGACACTAAGTTTGCGGTAATTTGTTATGACAGCAGTAGAAGACAATTCCTGTTTTTTACTTACAGAATTTGAGTATCACTGTATTTCCCTCAAAATGTTAATCTCATAACTCCCCTGTGAGTTCATTATTGTAGCTCAGCAAATAGTTAGGAAATGGTGTTTCTAGAACAGGGGTCAGCAAACTACAGCCCGGGGGCCAAATCTAGCCCACTGCCTGTTTTTGTAAACAAAATTGTATTGGACACAGCCACTCTCATTCCCTTACTTATTGTCTATGGCTGTTTTCATACTGCAACAGAATTGAGTAGTTGTGACATACACCACATGGCCCACAAAGCCTAAAATATTTATTTTCTGGCCCTTTTCAGAAAAAGTTTGCCACCCCCTGGCTCTAGGATATGACCCTACTTTTATCCATCTATCTTGGTTTCCCTTCACTCCAGTTACATCCCATTATCCACACTCTCCATGTTCTTAGCATTCTGAATTCCTGTCACTACCTTTGCTCATGCTACAATTCCATCCTGGAATTTCCTTCCATCTCTTTTCTAAATCTTGTATTCTTTAGCCACATTTTAAGTCATACTTTCCACCTAAAAGCTTTCCTGTCTATCAGGGCATTTTCCTTATACCTTACCACTTAGGTTTTGATTGATCAACAGCCATTTTATTGCTCTCTAAATTGTTTTATATATGTGACAATCTGTTACTACAAATAGACTGTAAGCTACTTAAAGACAGCAACCATGTCTTGAATTTCTACGGAAAATTCCACAAAGCCTAGCCACTGTGTTACGTACCAGTGGAGTGCTCTGTTAATAAGTGTTGACTTCACTTCTGAAGCTGAAGTTCAGTTTTAAAACGTTTTAAGTTTGAGCTCTGATAATTGCAGCTGGTATTGGATATTCACAACTGTTAACAGTCATATTACAGGTGATTTATTTATAGACATTCTCCAGCAGTATGATGGCGGTTATCTCTTTTATCATTTCCAGTTTTTATATCTATAATAGTAGTAGGATGAGTTTGTGATAGATAACCTTCTCTAATCCCTCTCTCAAATCCCTAAATACCTTTTAGTTTTATATAAAATAAATTGAGTAAAAAAGGGCAATAATGCCGGAATTGAAACAAGGGTTATGCAAATTTATTATTTTCAAAAGATTACAGGATAGTATACTAGTTCTCTGTTTTTAATAAAATGTGTAGAAGATATCACACTACTTAAGCCAGAAATCCTATGTGTTTAACTGAATAAATCTATGGTCTATAGAATATCTCCGCAATCATCTCAAACTCATTATACCAAAACTAGACATCAGAAACCAAGGTTCTAATGCCCCTAAAATTTAAAAGGTAGATTTGGGGGGGGGGTGGCAAAGATGATATAGAAAGATGTTATATAATTTTAATATCTAATACTTGAATTTCATAAATTTTAACTATTTATGTAATCATCAGAAATTCAGTATTCCTTACACAAAACAACAACGAAAACAACAAAATGACTTGGCTCTATGACTTGTCAAACCAATGTCATACTTAAACTTTCACTCTTGAGTAAAGTCCTGGTCAAAGATCTCCATTATGGGTCAGACTCACATTTAAATGACCGTTTTACTTAGGCTGAGGGCAGGTAGTTGCCAAAACCACTGAGCATCTTAAGTGACCATGAACCAATTACCCTGAATTTGGGGTTGCCATCCAAACAGTTGTCTCTTTGTCAAACACTAAACCTAAAATTCTTATGGCTCCAGATAAATTAAGATATAACATTCAATTAACTTTATTATAGTTTTGGGCACAAAACAAAAGAGACTTAAGAAATTACTTTTCTCCCACTCTAAGAAAAAATTTGCTACTGAGTATTCAAGGAAAATGACACCAAATGTCCTCATGCCTTATTTCTCCATACTCCCAGAAATTTCCCTTCCCCTTTTGTGTCCTTGCATATACTTCCTCTTCTTAGAGTGTCCTTCCCCTATCTGTCCACCTAGAAAATTCCAACTTTTCCTTCAAGTTTGAGCTCAAATATAATCTGCTTTGTGAAGCCTTCCTTGACTTATTTATGCATATTTAAAGGCTCTCCCGGGGCCGGCCCAGTGGCTCACTCGGGAGAGTGCGGTGCTGATAACACCAAGGCCCCGGGTTCGGATCCCATATAGGGATGGCCGGTTCGCTCACTGGCTGGGCGTGGTGCTGACAACACCAAGTCAAGGGTTAAGATCCCCTTACTGGTCATCTTTAAAAAAAAAAAAAAAAAAGGCTCTCCCCATTTTGCATATATCCCCTATTAAAACAATTGTTTTATAGGTATGTAAGTTTCTTTTTTTAAAGTTTATTTATTATCATTTTTTTACATTCTAAGATGTTATGGAGCTGTTGGAGGGGAGGGGGAGAGGGGAAACGGTAAGGAAATAGGGTGGGGGAAGAAGGCGGGGACGTGGTTGAAGTATGTGGCACATCCCTAATTCCTGCACGGGAGACCAGGGGGCTTCCAGTGGAGGCTTGGTTGTCACTGGACTGAATGAAAATGTCAGGGCAAAGTGGCTGAAGCCCTTGGCTTCCTACTACCCCAACTCAGAAGACCAAGAAGCTTCCAGCAGTGACTCGGTGGTAATTGCTGGGCTGATTGCAGATGTCAGGGGTGTGTGGCTGAAGCCCTCAGCCCCCCACCACCATGGCTCAGGAGCCTGGGGTGTTTCTGGTGGCAGCTTGGTGGTCATTGCTGGGCTGGTCGTGGGTGTCAGGGGGGCATGGCCAAGACCCTTGGCCCCTCACTGCCCTAGCTCAAGAGCCCCATTGCTGGGCTAGTTGTGGATGTTAGCGGGATGTGGCTGAGGCCCTCAGCCCTACACTGCCCTAGCTTGGGAGACTAGAGTGCTTCCTGTGACAGCTTGGTGGTCATCACTGGGCTGGTTGCAGATGTTGTGGGACATGGCTCAGGCCCCCAGCCCTCACTTATTCCTGGCTTAGGAGCCCAGGGGGCTTCCGGTCCTTCTAGGTTTTATAGGTGTTCTTCAGTGATGTGACACCTTTATTAGTTGATGTCAAACTTTGTCTCTGGTATGTGGGTATTTTGTTTTTTCTTTCAGTTCTGTGTTGGATCATTTGCTGTTCCCACCACTTAAACTCTGCACTGGAACTAATTTGTTGTCCTTTGCTTACTTCTAAAATGGGGGAACTTCCTATGGGAACCAGCACTTGAGCCCTGTGGTTGAGCTAAATTGCTGCTTTGCTGCTGATTCTCTGGGGAAGGCTTTTTGTGCAGCTCAGGTATTAATTGTTGACTTTGTATGTACTTCTGGGTCTTGTGAGTTCTGGTACACCTGGTTTGTGTGGAAGCTCTGGTCTGGGCCTGAGACTCTGTAGCAAACTGCATCCCCTGCAGATTTGTATTCCTGACCAGTCTCCACTGAGCAGGTCTTCACTGATTGGAGGACAGATCAGCTGTCCATGCTGTGACCCAATGTTCCCCTGGTGGGCCTGTCTCCCCCACCACCCACACTCCAAACACTTCCCATGGGACGGGCCATGCGCTGGTCCCTTGTGATGACTCACTGGCCTCTGAGTGGCTCCTCTCTCCTGTGTGGGTCCACAGGAACCCTGCCAGTGGTCTTGCTGGCCTAGGGCTACCAAGGACCTCTTCTGCCCTGCTGCCTCCAAGCAACTTCATATGAAGGGCACACTTGCAGCTTTTGCCAGCTCTTGCTCCGTGCACTCAACAGCTCCAGCGTTAAAGTAGCCAGGGTTCAAAATGGTGGAAGTGATCCTTTCTTTCTCTTTTCGTGGCTTCTCCTGCCTTCATGAACTGCATAGGTCTCTCCTTCTCTTCCCCTGAGCTGTAGCAGCCCCAGCTTGGCTGTTGTTGCTTTTTAATAGCTGTAAATTGGTTGATTTGTGGGAAAGAGTGGGAAAGATTTCTGGGGACCGTCTATTCTGCCATCTTGACAGTAATCCAGGTATGTAAGTTTCTCATCTGCATATATATCTCATCACACTTGTTCATAGGTGTCGATTCATATTTTTCACCCTTATGTCCCTAGTATCTGGCACATAGGAGATTTCTCATAATACTTGATTAAAGAAGGAATGAATAATTCATCCCTCCCCAAAAGTTTTAAAACAAACTATTCTTACTTGGCTTTAACAACTCTTTTCTCTGTCTCCTAAAAACATCCCTACTGGTTCAGCTTTAATGTCAAGTTCCTTTCTGATTCTTACCTGTTTGTCTTTCCTATTAAATCCAGATGCTTCCATGAAAGCACACATTTTTCTCACTATTCCAACACTTTCTTCTAAATCTGTTCATTGGCTTCAAGAAAAATTTTTGGAACAAACTTCAAACTGCTTTTTTATTCCCAATATACTCAATAACTTCAGATCCACTCATCTCTTTCCATTAAGATCAATTCCAGAGCTCTTCATTTCTTCAGAAGTATTTTACAAATGACTCCTATGCTCTTTCCATAACTTATAAAGGTAAAGTTTATCTCAACTGGACTCCATATATCAAGTATCAGTAAGCTTTAATTTAGAAATAAAATCATTTTATCCCTAATCTTGGAAAATAGATTTGAAGTAATTCTCAGTTAGCTTATTGAGCTTACAGTTTTAGAGGTTTCAGAGAATTCAATCATATCTGAACAAACTATCAGAAGCACCTCAGATTGGGAGTTACTCACCGGTACTCCTTGGTGTACTCAAAGTCTTGTTTGTTGTAGGCAGGTTTTAGGAAATTGCATTCAATGACTCCAATTACTCCCACACCTTCTCCACGAGTTGGCTTAGAAGAAAAATATTAATTTCAACACTTACATTACTGTTGACTGCTTGAAGGCATTTCCTTTTGATTCCAAACAATAATAGAAAGGTTACATAATGTTCATGGGCAAGAAAAGGCCATCCAGATCTAGAGAAACACTTAGAATGTACTTCAACAGACTGCAAGTATTACATTGAACTGAAAACTGACAAATTCTTGGGCAGAGATTTTCAAACTATAATCCATAGATCCTTAGGATTCTTCAGGGATTAATAGCTATCTCTACTTTACTCACACTACCTCCACATTCATCTGTTTTATATTCCAGAATTGCCATAAGATTTCATTTGCATAAAGAATTACACTGCTAATAAATCAAGAATATATATTACTTTTCTAAGGAAATGAAATAAAACTTCATCTAAAAAAATTTTAAGGATGCTAGTGATCATCACATGCTATATATTAAAATAAGCATTTTTTTTCCATATGAGGGTAATTCAAAAAGATCGTGGAAAAATACAATGGAAAGATAATATGAATCTTTCCATGAACTTTTTGAAGTACCCTTGTATATAGGCCACCAAACAACTACTAAAGAGAATCAGACATGCAGTGATTATTAATTACAAGTTTATGTTAGAGTATTTTGGATTTAAAATCTTTTTCATTCTTTAATAGAAGGAACTGAGTCAAGGTGTAATTGGACTGGCACACAAACATGAGTTGTCTACAGATGTTATAACGAGGATAAAGAAGATAGGCTAGGGCCAGCCCATGGCTCACTTGGGAGAGCATGGTGCTGACAATACCAAGTCAAGGGTTAAGATCCCCTTACTGGTCAAAAAAAAAGAAGATAGGCTGAAAATTAGCTATCCTAGGCCTCATATAATTCTGTCCTACTACGTAATATAAAGTGGCTTATCATTCTTTGTGCTTTAGCAATCTTACCTGTAAAATAGGAATGAAAGGGATACTTGTGGAAATTACTACTTTAAATTATCATTACAACATTAAAATGATGGTAACATTAGTATAGTTTGGTTTACAAAATATTTTCACATAATTTACCCCATTTAAATCTCTCAACACTGTAAGCTGTGAGGTAGGTAAAGCAGATGAGATTTTTATTGTTGCTTCCATTTTACAGGTAAAAAAAATCCAGGCTAAGAAATTTAAAAATGTATCCAAGGTTATACAGCTTGTAAATGGGAAATCAAGTACCCAAATCCCAGCCTTCGACCACCAAATTTTATGTACCTTCCACTATGCCTTACTGTCTCTCCAAGAAAATGGAAAAAGCTATCTAAAACACTAATAAGCTAATACACGTGGCAAAGTTGGTGGTGTTCTAATTCTACCTATTATTAACAGCTACCTAGAAAATACATTCAGTAAATTTCCTGGGATGATTACCATCTGTGAAGAATGAGAGAGTTTTTCAACACAAAACTGCTCATGGGTAACATAGAATTCCAGGATCGGAATTCAATAATCATCATAAGATGGAGTAAAATTCTTTAGTTTATCTCCTCTGCAAATTTTAAATTATCTTCCTACTCTTTTCAGCCTTCTATGACAAATAAACATTAACCACTCACCTTCACCTGGCATCCCACCTTCTCAAAGGACTTTATAAGTCGGTTGTTATGATACATCATTACTCCAAACTGGTTACTATTCTTGCAAGAGAACCCAAAAGTGATTCTCACCTGCTTATTCTGAGAAGAAAATCATTAAGGAGACAAACACCAGGGGCTTTAGCAGACATTTTACAATATAGTATAGCAAAAAACACCAAACACCATTGTATGTGCATTGATACAACCTTTCTAAGAAAATATTTTAAAAATCTGTAGCAATAGATTAAAGAATATTCTTAACATTTGACCAAGTAATTCTCCTTTCGGGAATTTATCCTAGAGAAATAATCAAGGAAGCCCCAAAGGTTTATGAGTTACAGAGATTTTTAAATTAGTTATAATAGCAGAACAACATAAATAATTTAAATGTTCAACAATAAGGGAATGATTAAGTATTGGTATATCCACATAATCTGCCATGCAGCTCTTAAAATTATGTCCTTGAAAAATATTTGAGAACACTAGGAAATGCTCAGATTATAATAAGCACTATTTTAAAAAAGAAATATATATATATGTGTGTGTGTGTATATATAAATACATGCATAAAAATACTGTACAAAAATATACCAACATGCCATCAGTGATTAAAAAATTCATAAATAATCAGGAAGTTCCGCGGAGACCACATGCCCTGCAGTGCCAGCGTGCAACCCAGCAGGTAGGTCTCGCCACCACCACCTGACTCCATCCCCAGCCCGGCCAAGTGCATGCGGATCAGAGAGGCGCCCAGCTGGAGAAGTGGAAGTTCTGCAGAGACCATGTGCCCTGCAGTGACAGCGTGTGCCCCAGCAGGTAGGCCTCACCACTGCCGCCCAACTTCATCCCCAGCTCAGCCAAGTGCACGCGGATCAGAGAGGCGCCCAACTGGAAAAGTAGAAATTCTGAGGAGACAATGCTCCCTGTGGTACTAGCGCGCAAACCAGCAGGTGGGCCTCACTGAGGCCACCCGACTCCATCCCCATCCAGTATGGCTGAGTGCATGCTGACCAGAGAGGTGCCTCCCCAGAGAAGCCCAACACCTGAGGCGACCACGCACGCAAGGCACTAGAGGGCAACCAAGCAGACACTGAGGCAGCCATACCAAATTGGCAGCCCTGGCAGCATCCTAGCCAGACAATAGTGTCAAACCAGTGGACTGTGAAATCCCCTGCCACAAAGACTAAACATCAAAGGAAAGATACCAGAAATATGAAAAATCAAGAAAGTACACCACCAAAGGGGAATAACTCTCAAGCTCTAGATCCTATAGAATGAGAAGCCCTTGAAACGTATGACAAGGAATTTCGAGTGATAATTCTAAGGAAACTAAATGAGATACAAGAAAACTCAGCTAGACAACACGATGAAATGAAGAAAAGGATACAGGACCTGAAAGAAAAATGTACAAAGAAATCAATGCCCTGAAAAAGAATGTAGCAGAGCTTGCTGAGCTGAAGAATTAATTCAATGAAATAAAAAACACAACAGAGAGTTTAACCAGCAGGCTGGCAGAAGCAGAAGAGAGAATTTCTGACCTTGAAGATGGGTTGTTTGAAATAAAACAGGCAGACAAAAAAAAAAAAGAAAGAAAGAAAAAAGAATTAAAAACATTGAAGAAAATCTAAGAGAGATATCAGACAACGTTAAGTGCTCAAATATCTAAGTCATGGGTATTCTAGAAGGGGAGGAAAAAGGAGATTGCACTGAAAACATATTCAACAAAAAAAAGTGGCAGAAAACTCCCAGGTATAGGAAAAGACACATATCTTCAGAATCAGGAAGCTCAAAGATCCCCAAATGTATTCAACCCAAAAAGGTCCTCTCTAAGACATGTTATAGTCAAACTGACAAAACTCAAAGACAAAGAGATAATCTTAAAACCTGTAAGAGAGAAGCATCAAGTCACCTATAAGGGAGCCCCAATCAGACTAACATCAGACTTTTCATCACAAACCCTAAAAGCCAGAAAGGAATGGGAGGATATATTCAAAATACTAAAAGACAGAGATTGCCAGCCAAGAATACTCTACCCTGCAAGGCTATCCTTCCGAAATGAAGGGCAAATAATATATTTCTCAGACAAACAAAAACTGCAGAGGCTCACTACCACACGACCACCCTTACAAGACATTCTCAAGGGAATACTGGGTTTTGTACCTGAAAAATAACTACCACTGCCATAAAAACCCAAGAAAATCAAAACCCACTAGTAAAATAAAAATGGCAACAATGAAGAGAAAAAAAAAGTTTATCTACAAACCAAGGAACCAATAAATACAGAAAACAAACAGTAAATCAGAAAGAAAGAAACAAAAGACACTTAAGACATTGAAACAAAAATCAATAAAATGCTAAGAGTAAAGCAATACCTTCCAATAACAACTCTTAATATAAAAGGCTTAAATTCCCAATCAAAAGACACAGACTGGCTGACTGGATTAAAAAGGAGGACCCAACTATATGCTCCCTTCAAGAGACCCACCTCACCCATAAAGACTCAAATAGACTAAGAGTGAAAGGATGAAAAAGATTTACCATGCAAACAGAAATGAAAAACGAGCTGGAATAGCAATTCTTATGTCTGATAAAATAGACTTTAAACTAAAAACCATAAAAAGAGACAATGAGGGCCACTACATAATGATAAAAGGATTGATCCATCAAGAAGTCATAACAATCATAAATATATACGTACCCAATGTCGGAGCAGCCAGATTTATAAGCAAACTCTATTAGACCTAAAGAAGGAAATAGACACTAATACCTAAGAGCAGGGGACCTGAACACCCCACTGTCAATATTGGACAGATCATCTAGGCAAAGAATCAGCAGAGAAACACAAGATCTAAACAACATTCTAGACCAATTGGACTTGGCAGATATCTACAGAACATTCCATCCAACAACCTCAGAATATTCATTCTTCTCATCAGCACATGGATCATTCTCCAGGATAGAGCACATATTAGGTAAATCAAGTCTCAACAAATTCAAAAAAATTGGAATTATCCCATGTATTTTTTTCAGACCACAATGGATTAAAATTAGATATCAATAACAAACAAACTTCTGGAAACTATACAAACACATGGAAATTAAACAGCATTCTACTTAATGACTTATGGGTCCAAGAAGAAATCAAGCAGGAAATCAAAAAATTTATTGAAACTAATGAAAACAATGATACATCATACCAAAACCTCTGGGATACTAGAAAAGCAGATTGAAACAGACGCAAATCTCCCAGACTCATTCTATGAAGCAAACATCATCCTGATACCAAAACCAGGTAAAGATACAACCAAAAAAGAAAACTACAGGCCAATATCCTTAATGAATATAGATGCAAAAATCCTCACTAAAATACTAGCAAGCAGAATACAGCAACACATATGTAAAATTATAAACCACGATCAAAAGGGATTCATCCCAGGGATGCAAGGTTGGTTCAACATACACAAATCAATAAATGTAATACACCATATCAACAAAATCCAACACAAGGACCATATGATCATCTATATAGATGCTGAAAAGGCATTTGATAAAATTCAACATTCATTCATGACAAAGACCCTCTATAAGTTAGGTATAGATGGAAAGTATCTCAACATAATTAAAGCCATATATGATAAACCCTATGTTAATATCAGCCTGTATGGGGAAAAGCTAAAAGCTTTTCCTTTAAGAACAGGAACTAGACAAGGATGCCCACTCTCACCACTCCTATTCAACATAATATTGGAAGTACTAGCCTGAGCAATCAGAAAAGAGAAGGAAATAAAGGGCATCCAGATTGGAAAAGATGAAGTCAAACTGTCCCTGTTTGCAGATGACATGATCCTATATATCGAACAGCCTAAAGCATCTACAAAAAAACTCTGGGAGTTGATAAGCAATTTCAGCAAAGTAGCAGGATACAAAATCAAGACACAAAAGTCAGTAGCATTTCTTTTCCCCAATATTGAACATGCAGAAAGAGAAATCAAGAAAGCGTGCCCATTTACAATAGCCATCAAAATATAAAATACTTAGGATTTGAGTTAATCAAGGATATGAAAAATCTCTATAATGAGAACTACAAACCACTGCTGAGAGAAATTAGAGAGGACACAAGAAGATGGAAAGATATCTCATGCTCTTATATTGGAAGAATCAACATTGTGAAAATGTCCATACTATCCATAGTTATATACAAATTCAATGCAATCCCCATCAAAATTCCAATGACATTTTTCTCAGAAATGGAAAGAACTATCCAGACATTTATATGGAATAACAAAAGACCATCCATAGGCAAAGCAATTCTGAGCAAAAACCCACACACCTATAGCCATCTGATCTTTGACAAAGGTACCAAGCCTATACACTGGGGAAGGGACTGCCTCATCAGCAAATGGTGCTGGGATAACTGGATATCAATATGCAGGAGAATGAAACTAGACCCATACCTTTCACCATATACTAAATCAACCCAAAATGGATTGAAGAATTAAATATACACCCTGAAACAATAAACCTTCTTAAAGAAAACATAGGAGAAACATTTCAGGAAGTAGGACTGGACACAGACTTCATCAATACTACCCCAAAAGCATGGGCAACTAAAGGAAAAATAAACAAATGGGATTATAGCAAATAAAAAAGCTTCTGTACAGCAAAAGAAACAATTAACAGAGTTTAAAGACAACAAACAGAGTGGGAGAAAATATTTGCAAAATATACATCTGACAAAGGATTAATATCCAGAATACACAAGGAGCTGAAACAACTTTACAACAAAAAACCAAATAACCCAATTAAAAAATGGGCAAAAGAGCTAAATAGGCATTTCTCAAAGGAAGATATACGAATGGCCAACAGACATACGAAAAAATGCTCAACATCACTCAGCATTCGGGAAACGCATATCAAAACCACACTGAGATACCATCTCATCCTAGTTAGGATGGCTAATATCCAAAAGACTGTGAATGATAAATGCTAGTGAGGTTGCAGAGAAAAAGGATCTCTCATACATTGTTGGTGGGACTGCAAAATGGTGCAGCCTCTATGGAAAATGGTATGGAGGTTCCTCAAATAATTGCAGATAGAACTTCCATATGACCCAGTTATCCCACTGCTGGTAATATACCCAGAGGAATGGAAATCATCAAGTTGAATGTATTATCTGTTCTCCAGTGTTCATTGCAGCACTCTTTGCAATAGCTAAGAGTTGGAACCAGCCCAAATGTCCATCATCCGATGAGTGGATATGGAAAATAAGGTATATCTACACAATGGAATACTACTCTCCTATAAAAAAGAATGAAATACTGCCATTTGCAACAACATGGACGGACCTAGAGAGAATTCTATTAAGTGAAACAAGTTAGGCACAGAAAGAGAAATATCGCATGTTCTCACTTATTTGTGAGAGCTAAAAATAAATAAATAAATACACAAATACGGTGGGGGGGAGGAAGATACAACAATTACAATTCCTTTAAGTTGATACAACAAGCATACAGAAAGGACATTGTTTGGGGAGAGGGAGGAGGGAGGGAGGTTTCGGTAATTGGCCACAATAATCAACCTCATTATTTATTGACAAAATAAAATAAAATTAAAAAAATTCATAAATAATCACAAAACATTTCTTAACCCTTGCTAGTTGTTCAGTTTGCTGCTAGGGCTCATAGGCTCTGATAAGAGTTTTAAATGGCATAATACAAATCCACACAATTTTAAGCAATAAGGTAAGTCCTGATAACCGTACAAAACACAATGAAAGCAGAAGCAACAGGGACAGAATCACTTTTAAAGGTAAAGAACAATGAACAACCATGTAGTAACATATTTCACAGGAAGAAGTTACAAAGCTTGGATGGATAGATAAAATTAATAGAATTATTATAATTAAGACATGAATAATGATGAGTTTTTAATAAGTTTTATTTGATTTAAAAGCCAAGATAATAGAGTGAGAAAGATAAAGGGGAAACAAAAACTGAGAGTTTCATTAAAACAAATACTAAGAAACCTTCATGTCTAAATGAATTGAATGAAAAGTCATTTTTGCTACTTATTCAAAAATGATCTCCGTTGACCGCACTAAATGACAGCTACTTGCATCAAAACCATATGAAAAAATGGGTCATGTATAATGCAACGACATGATGCAAGTGGGAATATAACATACTTATATTTGGCTCAGAACATACAATGTTTTCGACTCTAGAAACTCACATCAAACCTCAAATAAGACCTTATTCCAACACAAAAACAAAACAAGATAAAACTCCCTCAAACAAGCAAAAATCCCATATCATAAAATGAACATTTTAAATATAAAGAGTGGCTAATTTTTCTTTCTGTTGTACACTTTTAAAGTTCTAAATTATGAGGTGGAAGTATACTGGGGTAGGAGACTCTCCAAATTAGTATAAGGAGAAAGAACATAGAGGAAAGAAGAGGCCTTTGATGATTGAGGAATAAATAAGTTAGCATCGATGATCTTGTTCCTCAGTGACCTTGTGGGAAATTGTATTAGGAGTTTCATTTTATTCATTTCTATAGTGAATCTGTTTAGTGTAAACTGTAATATTGGAAGATAACTGGTTTAATAGGAAGAGGAGTTGAGAACAGCTGAGGTATAAATAGAATATATGTATAGGAGTTGCTCTGATGGACACCCACAAAAGAAGGAAGTGGAGACAGAAATGTGGTATATCCTAAAAGTAGTCAGAAAGCACTTCTTTAGACTGGCTCTGTTAAACCTATAGCACTAATATCCTAACCTACATAGTGATATTAATTTACCTACACATGCTAACAGTGCTAGCTCTGGCTTTATTAAGTTGGGTTTGTTCAGGGCTTTAAAAAAAAAAAGTTTCCTGGTAGACAAAGTACGTGTTCCCAAGACGGAGAAAATTGATCTGCTCATGAGTAAAAACTATATGGCTTTTAAAAAAGAAAACAAAATTTTCTAATTTTTAGTCAGAGAAAGAAAGACAAAGCAAGCTAGATAAAAACTTTGATAAAGCAAATAGAATATAAACTTGTTTCTTGGGCCAAGAGTGATGCTTAGTTACTGAAAATAATTAAAAGAGCAATTTTTCATAACTTATTATGTGTTCTCAACCTTTCAAAGACTTTTTTCCCCCAAAAAAATCCATTAATAAAGATAGACCTAATTTCCATAATTCATCTTAAAATTTTTCTCTAGTATCTGAAATCTGTTCCCAACACATTGTGGGGTAGAAGTGAAAACAAGTAACTGCTCCTCTGAGTGACTGCCATTATGAGAAGTACCAGGAAATACGTGTCAAATTTGTTGAAGATTCATCTCACCCTAGAAAATCAACCTTTAATTTCCACTCTCCTAACTTCAATCAATATAAGTCTGGATCTGTTACAACAAAAATCACACTATATCCAAAAGATTAACAAGTTCTGGTCAACATTTTGCTTATTTCAATCAATGTAATATATATCAAAATTCCAGTACAAAACAATGTGGATTATTCCTTATGGCAGAGATTCTCAAATCAGCTGAGGATTTAAAAATACATAAATATTTCTTTTTTAAAAAAAAAAAAAAAAACATTTCAGAATCTAGTAAACCAGAATCTCTAAAATCTCAGGACCCTGTATTATTTTAACAGTTTCCAGGTGATTTCTGATAAAACTGGTATGTAGATTGGCATCCAAGAAATACTTCCTTAGAGTACACCATAATAGGATTTGTACTATAACACACATCTTTTAATTAGAAAAGGAAAGTTTTTGTTTTTCTGTCTCAACCTGAAAATTTAATCCTGAAATGAAGAGATCAACTTCATGTAGTTGTAAGGATACTGTGAAGGTAGGTTTATATATATCATATCCTATATTGGCCAGGCTCTTGGCAATCATCTGGGTAGTCACCTTCTTTTGACGCAGAAAAATTTTCATTCGTGGCTTCATATATAGAATACCACAAAATGCCTATGGAACAGTGAAGGGAAAGTTATTACGTGATATTGCCAATTCTACTGACATCCACATAAAACACTGCTAGCATCTGATGCTTATTCTGGGCAAAGATTTGGCTCACTTTCCATACCTTGTTACACTATGTCAACTACCACACTAAAGTACTGCTGATTATATCAGCTAAACTTTCAGTGGAGACAGTGAAAAGGAATCTCAGCACAGGTCTAAAAGGCTGTCATCTTTATATAACTAAAATAAGATCTATATAACTAAAGATCTTTAACTAAAACAAGATCTATGTTCTATATTATTTTCATATTATACGAAATCTTACCTCTCACCGTTGAAGAAAAACCATTCTTACTTACCCGTAAAGAATACTCTGTTTCTGGTAGCTCAGAGGTAACACCACCAGTCTCTTTTTCTTCTGTGTCAAAGTCTGAAACCAGGATGTCATACTGATCTGTATCAAAGTCCAACTCCGATTTCCCATCTTTATTTCTGGGTAAAAGAGACAAGTACCAATCTAACAAAAACTGGCTCCAAAGGACAAAAAAATGCACTAGGAACCCAAGAGAAAAGAAACAATATGAGCCAAAACTCAGGTATCTATTTCTTTCCCTAACTACCAAAGCAACTACAAACAATTTGGTTCAAGGACCATACATAATTAAGTGCATTTCTAGTCTAAACAAATCTACTATGTTTCATAGAGGTGGTGATGCCAAGTTCATAAGGAAATGAGAGGGAATGTGGAATGTCTGTAATCTGATAAATCAAATGGATGTTAGCTATCCTCAAAGCAAGATCTTAAAATAGATCCCAACTTTCTGGATACTGTTAGATAAGTCAGTCAACATCATTTTGCCCAACTAAATGAATAGATGAATCAAAACCTACTTTTACTAACTTCAGCAATTAGTATAAGGACTAATGAGATACCAAGATTTCCCCAGAATTAATCCTATTTCTTAGAAGAAAAAAAAAGATTGCTATAAAAATAGGTATATTTACTAGTCCTGTAGAATACCATTTATGGGATTATTATTTAAATATAATAGTACTAAAATGACTTTCATAAGGATCTTTCTTCTTCCCATAATTTTCTGGGACCACTTAGATTTGGTCCACTTTAGCACCCTGTGCTACATCACTAACCACTGCCAGGAAAAAAAGGTAAGACCCATCTTTGTTCCTTGAAAAAAACTGAAAACAAATGATGGGTTATCGAGAAAACATATATCAGAACAATATAACTCTTTGTTCCTTGAAAAAAACTGAAAACAAATGATGGGTTATCGAGAAAACATATATCAGAACAATATAACTCTTTGTTCCTTGAAAAAAACTGAAAACAAATGATGGGTTATCGAGAAAACATATATCAGAACAATATAACTCTTTGTTCCTTGAAAAAAACTGAAAACAAATGATGGGTTATCGAGAAAACATATATCAGAACAATAGTTCCCAAAATTTGTTCTGGGGCACAGTAGTCCCTAAAGATATTCTTAAACAATAAATAAAAAAATAAAAGTTATATGACCAAATAAAATTGAGAAACAATTCTCAGCCCTCAGAGTCACTTCAAGCTCTAGTGATGCCTCCCTCATACTTTAGGCTCCATAAGCTCAGGGCTGCTATGTTGAAAATGTAACTCCTTTTTCAGGGGTGGATCAGAACCACTATATGTATCCTGTATAAAGCCTCTGTCACAGTAATAGCAATTTAGTACTGGATTTTCCAGAATAATCCTGATTCTCAGTACCCCACCCCACCCTAACACATATAACCTGAGGAGGTTCCCTATTTTTCCTGTCCCTCACCTTCTCCATCTAAGGAAAAGAGGTCTGGAGAAACAATTTTTTTTTTGGAGCGGGGCAGTGGGGGAGGAGGTGGGTATAGCTGCTGGTTATGGATCCAAACACTTGACCTTGGTGTTATCAGCACCATGCTCTACTGAGTGAGCTAACTGGCCAGCCCCTGGAGAAACATTTTTAAAAATTGTGAAATTTTGCCCTCTGAAATATTTTCAATGCATATTAGCATATTAAAATCTCTGAGAAGTCCTGGAGCAAAGCAACAAGGTAAACTTTATTCAAGCCAGCTTTTCTCAAATTTGTTTGTACATGCAATCCTTTATTTATATAACACCTAGGACCAAATAACTGAGAAATGATGTACAAAGAAAAAAATGTAAATCACTGGAAATACCTCAGGAAAATGATCCTTTGTAATACAAATTATATTACTTGAGGTTTTCCCAGTAGGACAAAGGGAAGATCTAAATTGCCATATGTGAGCCCTCCTTACTATTTTTCTTTTTAATTGTAAGTACACTCTATGTCAACCAGCACTTTTTTATAGAAGTCTTAACCAGCTAAGAAATGAGACGAAATACTTGATCTAAGGAGAAAAGAATGAATATATCTGATACTCTGTTCTATTAAATATACCAGAAATACTTCTACGTTATATTAAAGGTTTTTAAGTTTTAGAGTTTAGGTTTTAATACACCCTTAAATGAATTCCATTTGACATGCCAACATTAAAGAAATGACATATCATGTAGTATTTCTAGATTGTTTTATTAGTTCCAAAGATATAATCTTAAGCCAGCCTCAACAGATTTAAAATATATCTGCTTAAATTTTTCTCTACTTCTAATCCAACTACTCTGAAAGCACTAATATAGAGGTCCTTATTTTTTAAAGATCATGTACTTTGTTACTGTAATTTCTCTTTCTCATACCTCATTTTCATTGTCAAATAGGTAAAACAACTTTCATTTACCAATCTGAAAATAATGCCCATGAATATCAAGTAGATACTTACAAAGGATTCTGAGGATCTTAGAATAATGTTGAACTGTCTTGATTATTTGTGGCAATAGCCTCAAGATATGCATGTTTCTACCTTACATGTGCCACATTTTACCAACAAGAACCACTATCTCAAATAGAACTATGGTTCTAAGAGAAAATTATGGAAAGGTATGCAATTAGATAGAAATATGCATCAAAATTGATCTACTCTGCTTCTCTACAAAGACTTACTAAAAGGTGCTTCATCATACTACCTTTGTCTATTAGAATCTATCACCCTGGGAATACTATACCTGCGGATGTTCCAAATGAGAACACGAGTGCCTTTTTTGCCTGGGATGGCATCAAACTGGGACAGCAGGTCATTTTCGCTGTTGAAAACTGAATAGTTCAAGATGGCTTCTAGGCTGGGCAAGGAATCCTCAGTAATAATCATTTTTTGTAAAACAAAATATAGTCAAAGAAAAATTAACATCTTAGGTGCTATTGAGAAGGAACCCTTTTGGGTTCCATGTTTAGACAAAAATATAGACATAAAGCATGGGCATTACTGCTACAGAAGAAAGGAAAGGGGAAAAATACAGAAAAGTTGTAGAGACAAACACCAAAATCAGTTACCCCTGCAGAATATAGCTTCAAAGATATAATGTAAATGAAGTCCTATATTTAAGAAAAAGACCAAAGTCTGAATTTTTTAGCTCTCTAGAAGCAATGATTTCAAACCTTACTGCTACACTGCTCTGGTCAAAACGACCTGGTGTTTAACAGAAATAATAGCTTGTCCAGGTATAGGGACAGATAAGCTGATAAAACAGTATGTCTCTAGGAGTATGAATGCAAATGTAGCTACCCTTAGGGGAAAAAAGGAAAAGGCCCTGGGAACTTTACCGTGGGGTGGTGGGAGGTGGGGAGAGAATATGAGGGTACTTTAAAAAGTTTGTGGAAAAACAGAATTAAAAGATGATATGAATCTTTTCACGAACTTTTTGAAATACCCTTGTACTAAGATCAAATCGCATAACAATGAAAATTTCAACATATCTAAAACATTTCTAAGCTTCTATCAATGGTCTAATTATATTTTTAAAAGATTTAATAGAAGCAAATTCTAGTTAAATTTAAGACATTTGAATATCTCTTTTGATAGCTGGATTTAACTTGAAGAAAGAGGTTCCTATCAAAATAGTCAGATTAGACTAATTTTTAACCAACATTCTCCATTTCCAGAAAGGATATTGTTTTGCTGGTTGAATGGAACAATTGGTACAATAACTGCCTGGGCCTGGACACATTCCAGATAGGTCTGTGATAGGAGTCCAACAGTGAGCGTACCCCCATTCTTGGTGAAGACAAGAGCGTCCTTTCCTAGCCTCATGGAGCCGGACTTGAAACCATTACCAAAGACTCCGATGGGACACTGGCTCTTCTTTATTACTTTATCTGTAAAGCCAAAGCTGTAATTACACAAGAAAAAAGAAATCAGAAAGGTAAAAAGCATCCTAAGATAGGTGATAGGCAGAATGTTTGGCTTACAGATGAAGAACACTTGTAAAAAGTTCCTCCTTTTTCGTTCCTTTTGGTATTTCTGGGCAAACCTATTAAGTTAAAAACTTAGGAAATTACTATGGGGTAATGGGACTGATTTTCCTGTGTGGTTTGTGTATATATAAATAGTTCCACTACGTTATAGTCACACTTTGTAACTGTAAAAAGGCCCCTTTTCACTGGCTAACAGAGAGGTGGAGAAGGCCTTGTACAGCTGCTTTCCTTGTCTAGATAAAATGGCTCTGATGGCTAGAAGTAAAGTTAGGGTAAGGTGAAAAGGGTAGTTATCTAGAGAGGGTAAAAAAGGAACAGATAGTGGCACTGGTCAGAGGTACTAGATTAAGCATCTTCTAACCTGGTTATATCACCCTCTAGAAATCTGAAAGTCAGGGATCATGTATCTTGACAATTTCAACTCTACACCCAAAGGATAACCCTTCCAATTCTTACCCTCTGCTCCATCTGCTGGGATAGTTCAATGGAATAGTGCCAAGGGATAAAAATAGTTAGTTCTGCCTTGGAATATCAGCAAACAGCTGCAGTATAAAGTCTCTCTTGTTCTACTAAGGGCTTTTAACTGAGTCACCTCAACAATCTCTGTAGCTCCTTATGATGAGCTTAATCTGGGAGCTAGAACCTTTCCCTTTCTTATATTTTCCATCCATATACACACCAAAATAACAGAACCTAAAAAAATTAAAGGTATGAAATCTAAAAAATGATTACCTGCCTCTTATATATTCCCTCACCACAAATAAAACTAATTTTAAGAATTGTTTCTCTCCAGATTGACTAATCTTATAATGTTGTACACTACCATTCACTTAGTAAATATTTACTGAGCACCTACTATATGCCATGCATTGTGCTAAGCTCTGGAGACACAACTGTTATTAAAAGAGACATGATTCTGGGGCCAGCCCATGGCTCACTTGGGAGAGTGTGGTGCTGATAACACCAAGGCCACGGGTTTGGATCCCATATAGGGATGGCCGGTTAGCTCACTGGGTGAGCATTGTGCTGACAACACCAAGTGAAGGGTTAAGATCCCCTTACTGGTCATCTTAAAAAAAAAAAAAAAAAAGAGAGAGAGAGACATGATTCTTGCCCTCATAGTTTACAGTCTAAGGAAGGTCATATATTACAAACTAGATGCTTCTCAAACATTAATAATATAGACACTATGTAGGCTATGACTGAGCAGCCTTGTCTTGGCTTTTACTCTTTTGAGCAGGGAGGGCTGAAGTGCTTGATTTCCACTTCCTGAAGGCTGTGGTTTTGTGTTTACTCTCAAAGAAAGAGGACCACCTTTTAATTTTCTATTTCAAGGTGTTATACAATAATACTGTATGTCCTTCTAGAGTACACACTTTATAGGAGCTTTGTGTATCATACAAATAAATCTAATGACAGACAAAGCTAATTTCTAGGGCAGTAGTCCTTTGAAAAAAACAAAAGAACATTGAGTTTGTGCTGCATATGGGCTCTAGTATTCCAGGAAATAGACTTATAAATTGGTAAGAATCAGGCATTCCCATTCCTCTTGTGGAAGAATTGGCTAGAAAAGATGGGGTTGTTATGAGGATTAAATTATATACTGTATGCAAAACAATATATATTATATATTAAGTATAAAGTAGTATTCAAACTTTAAACTTTCTCTAATACCACAAAAGCTTGTCAATTAGGTGGTCAAAGGAAAGCGGTGAAAATAGGAAGATTATATTACTCCCTTAATGTCCTAGCCTCTTTTGACATCTATCACCTCTTTTTCCCTTTGTAAGTATAAACCTTCATTGTGTTACTTATTTTAGGGACACCAAATAACTACATAAAGTTGAAAAGATAAATAGTAGGACAGGGCCAGCACCAGAATGGAAAAGCATGGGAATAATGAGAAGAGAGGAGCTGGAAGCTCTGGATTTTCTATTATTATGTTTCACTTAACTCTTCCCATATGCTCTTTTATAAGTTCCCATGCTAGATATTCTATTTTACTGCAAATTTGCAGAATAGATGCTGGATACCAATCAAATAATTACCTAGTATAAATGCCCTCACCACACATAATAACAGAACTGTAGAAACGAATTTTTTATAGTGTGGTATAACTCAATAATTTTCCACAGAGCTGTCTTGGCTTAGGTGGTTTATCTTCACTAATTCAGTCTTGTTCTAGCCTCTCATGTAAGAGACAATGCTGTTTACACACCAAGGGGGCTTGGATACTAGCTCTTTGAGTAGAATCCAAGAATACAGCAGCTTGCTCTTGAGCACCTTAAAATGTCAAGAATCTAGACAGGTAAACTTAAATTGGGACTCTGACCAATAAAACAAAACCTTAACAAAATCCATGGACATACAAGGGCAGGCACTGTTGTTTCCTAGATATATTGGTGATGTAATATGTCATATAAAAGAAAGACTGCTAAGAATACTGTTATTCTCTGGCTATCGTTTCAGAGGAACAGACCTACTAGGAAATGCATTTCTGATCACAGGTAGCAAACACCTTCAATTTGTGGCTCTGTGTTCTTAATCCTTGGCCTTTGAAAGAGGTTTTCCACCTTACTGAAAAAGACAGCTGAATATATAGACTAGCTGAGTCATACACTATACCCAGAAGCTAAAGAGAATAAATCATAAACTTTGAAAGAATTTAATGACAGGCATTTCCTTGTTAATTTGATTTTCATTGGATTCTATGTTTATGGAAGAAACTGCTGGTACAGTTACACAACTATTTAGCCTAAAAATAGGCAGAGTACCATAAAGAGTTGGAAGATGTGGAGAGGATAACAACAAAAGTTATAGGTCAAATAGAATTTCCGTAGGCTTAATAGTTTTGCATAATCACGTCTATTATTTTTTCCAAATACAAAAGTAGTGTGCCACCAAACAAAACACAGAATAATTAATACACTTAATAATAATTTTCAAAGCTACCTCAAAAGTTCAATTATTTAAAAAGAAATTATGATAAGTGGAATCCTTGGCTAGATGTTAGGATCAGATTCAATTATCTCTTTTAAATAAATGGTATCTTCTAGCTGATTTAAGTTTAAGATACAATCACAAAATCCAGTATATATACTACTTTAAGGACTCATTAAAATAGTCCTCTAAAATTAAGTTTTAAATATAAGGAATAATTGCCCAACTCAAATTAGTGGGAAACATATTTGACGTGATAGGAAATTTCTGCCTGTTTTGCTCCTTGTGGAGGGAAAAAATTTTGAATGGATCATACTCATCCTTCATATTTCAGCTCAAATGTCATTTCTTCAGAGTAGCCTTTTTTTGATTCCCTAGACTAGATTAGAGCCCTCTACCGTATGCTCTCAAAGAAACTGTACTCTTTCTTCTTAGCACTTACCACTGGGTAGAATAGCCTATTTAGTTATATTACTAGTCAATTCTTTTCTTTCCCACTAAACTGTCATCCCTTTGAGAACAAGGATCATGTCTGTCTGGTTCACCACTTCATCTCTAGTGCCTTGCACATAGGTGCTCAGTAAGAATTTATTGAATGAATAAATGAAGGAATCTAGAACAAAAATTGTTGCAATTATTTTGCAACCATCCTTTTCCTTCCTCCTACCTTATAACTAGAACCACCATCTTTCACAGATGTAATTCCACTGACAAAACAGAAGGTGATCAGATTTGCTGGGCCCACTATTTGACAACCATGTCAAAAGGTGTAGTGGGAAGGAGTCATTAAGAAGATAAGCAGGGCCGACCCCGTGGCTCACTGCGGAGAGTGCGGCGCTGGGAGCGCAGCGGCACTGAGAGTGCCGAGGCCGCAGGTTCGGATCCTATATAGGGATGGCTGGTGCGCTCATTGGCTGAGCATGGTGCAGGTGACACCACGCCAAGGGTTGCGATCCCCTTACCAGCCACATACACAAAAAAAGAAGATAAGCAATTTTAGGGGAAAAAAATTAATGCATACAGATCTAGACATATAAATATTTTGGTTCCATCCCATCTAAAATTTTATTTTTCTTAATATATAATATATAATATTAACTTTAGTTTTTTGTTTTTTTTTTTCCTTTTTGTCTTTTTTCGTGTCCAGCAACGGATCGCAACCCTCAGTGTTGCGCCCGTACCGGACCAGGACCGGCAACGGGATCGCAACCCTCGGTGCTGCGCCCGCACCTCGCTCAGCCAGTGAGCGGGAACCGGTCTGTATGTGGGATCCGAACCCTTGGCAGGAGCGCCACCACACTCCCAAGCGGCGCACTGTAGCAGTGTGCCACCGGGCCGACCCTATAATATTAACTTTAGTTTTTTGTTTTTTTTTTTCCTTTTTGTCTTTTTTCGTGTCCAGCAACGGATCGCAACCCTCAGTGTTGCGCCCGTACCGGACCAGGACCGGCAACGGGATCGCAACCCTCGGTGCTGCGCCCGCACCTCGCTCAGCCAGTGAGCGGGAACCGGTCTGTATGTGGGATCCGAACCCTTGGCAGGAGCGCCACCACACTCCCAAGCGGCGCACTGTAGCAGTGTGCCACCGGGCCGACCCTATAATATTAACTTTAGGAGATAAAACTGATGCTATAAGTTAAAGGATAGGGTTGACTTTCTACCTTCACTAACATACTGGTCACATTCTTGTCTCACTTCTAGAAGCTTTCTGCAAATATTCTTCTAATTAGAAGGGTCTGAGACACCAGGTATACAGACTGCTGAGTAGTAAAACATAACTGCTTATTTTGTCCAATTCTCATTTTTGTTTCTTTGATGAATCAAAAGGATTTCCCTACAAACAGGGTTATTGATTTAGAATGCCTTCAAAGAGAACTACAACCGAATGAATTTGTTTTCCATTTTTATAGTTCTGAGCCCTTTCCCTCCTCCACAACACCCCTCCATTGTTACTCGTGCTTCACGCACTCTAGTTCAGGAAGCCACATGGAGAGTAATTGACCTCATCTGCTACAAAGGAAAAGAGAAGGAAGGAGTTGAGGAAACACTCATCTTCCACTGTCTGATATGTGAAGATAATAAACTACAAACATATTCTCAAGCACAAACCTTTTAAAGTAATTAAATGAACTGAGAGTGGCAACAGAAATCTACCACCAGCTTCAACAGGAAGGTAGAAAGCCAACCCTATCCTTTAACTTATAGCATCAGTTTTACCTCCTAAAGTCAACAGTTAGAAAAGAGAATTTCCAAACTTTGCAATTCTACGGCAAAACCGTCAAAGACTGTGTGTGTGAATGCCTTCTATTTATCTTTCATGGAGCTTGATTATACCTGGGTGCCATCAGGGTTCTAATCCACAAATCATCCCAACACCAGTACTTCAGACTTAAGAGTGAGTTGAAGGTTAATATAAATTGGAGACCGTCTCAGACCAGTGAAGGCCTCCAGGTCTTTCCACTTGCTGTTCTCTTTGCCTGAACTCTCATCCTTTGCTGTATCCCTTTATCTGGTTAAAGTCTACTTGCCCTTAGATCTCAGCTTAAATATCATTTCATCTAGAAGGCTCTTCCTAACCTCCGGGATCAGACTGGGTTTCCCTGCAGACTCATGCCATGCATCCTTTACTTTCTTATCATTATGCTATCACTTTTCATTATAATTACTTGCTTAATCGTCTGAATTGCCAGCTACACTATAAGTTCTATGAGGGCAGGAACAGTGCCTGTTTCATAACCAGTGTCCTGGCACAGAAGAGATGCTTAATAAGCATTTGTTGAATGAATAAAGAGAAAGTAAGATGTTAAAGAAAATTATTAATCCTTAAATAGAGTTCATTAGCTTAAGATAAGAGAAAGAGAATGAAGACATTTTTACCTGAGCATTCGGTGTAGTTTATGAGGTGTCATCCCACATCCATCATCAGTAAAGGTCAAACAAGATTTATTCTTGACCTCTTCAACATCTATAAAGACTGTTCTGGCAGATACATCTGGATCTACAGCATTATCTGCAAAAGGTAGAAATCTGTGATATTAGATCCCCTTTTCCAATATTCTATCAAAATCCCTAATTTGGTACCTCCAGGACATGGAAACTGTCCTTTACTCCCCTCATATGGATGTCCCAGAAGAAAAATAGGAAGCACTGATGGTAGTGTACCTACTGAATTATAGAGAACAACAGATATGATAGCAGATGGAGTTACAAAGCTGATTTCTAGATTTCATATAATGACTGATCTGCAATCCACCTTTCTCCCTTCATTCTTCAGGGTCTGTGGGAAAAGTAACTACTTCTACGTACAAAGCATTTTGCTCTGTTTTTGTCTTACTACTTCTTGTCTTTCAGCTGCTTTACTGCTCATGAACACAAATAGTAAAGGGTGGCTACAGAGAAAAGTTGAACCAGCAATTCTGGTAAGTATAGATGCATATTACACACATAACAGTTTATTCGTGATAATTTTATTTTCTACTTTTTTGCATCACCTCCTGTGTTAAAGAACACAGATATTATCACCTTCCTTGTTTATAGCCTAAGAAGCACTGAAAGAGCCAGAGGTTAAAATCAAAATATTTAATTGCCTGCCTTGATCCCAGTGATGGTAGCAAGCATGCTTATAGAGGAGTGATTCTGCTTAGGTATTTTTTAATAGTCTTAAAGGTGAGGCTGTCCATCCCTCATGAAATGGAAAACATAGAATTGAAGAAGAAAAAGTATATGGAAAGTTTCATGATTCCTCCTGAGTTACATTTTCAGAATGGGTTAATTATTTAAGACTCCAAAGACATCAAATATAGCCATAATTCTAACATATGCACCATGCTCACAACCCCAGGGGGGTGCCATTGCCTAGTGGCCACATCTTTTTGCCACAGGCACCAGCTTATATAGTTGTCAGTCACTGACGTGTGACTCAAAAGTTTCATTAGGACTCACTGGCCTAAGTGGAAGGGCGGTCTGCGCAATCTGTTGGATAGGTTTCTTAAATCTTTTCTGTCTCTACTAGCTCTTTAAATAAGACAGAGACCCTCCTTCCTGCTCCCTTCCCTTTTTTCCCCTGGTATCCTGTACTGTTTTACTGATACCACATGGGCTGGGCTGAGACAGCCAGGTGGGGTCCTAGTTGTAAGAACCTTCTTCAAAAAGTTTGTGGAAAAATAGAATTGAAAGATAATAAGAATCTTTCCATGAACTTTTTGAAGTACCCTTGTATATTCGTCCCATTACCACTGATCAAATAGTGGCATTTCTCCACTGGGAACATTCCTTATAATCAAGAGAAGTATTACACAGATTCAAAACACCCATTTTTACAATACAGTTAATAGTATCAGTTACAACCACTTGGATGTGTGGAACGTCCATCAAACAAAACAAGGCACAGATTCATTTCAAGGGCCACAATAATGCTGCCAGAGTCGTTGATAAAACCGTCACTGATTGTAACCTGAAAAAGTCTTACTAGCAGTAAGGCATCACCAGTAGCCCCAGAAGGGGGTTAAGAAGTCTGATAGAGTCAATTTTTAAGGACCAGATGGGTCCTAAGCCCATGTAATATGGCAAGACAAGTGAACTAACTTTTGGCAGGAGTTACAAGTTTGGCATGCAATGGCGGCTTTATCAGAAATATAGTTCTTTACTTTGTAAGAGGCAGCAGTTTTTTTTGTTTGTTTGTTTGGTTTTTTCTTCTTTAACTGACAGAAAGATTCAGCATTGTATAGCTGCCTACATTGTTTCAAGAACTTTACTAGGCAAACACACTATGAATTGTGTTGGGACTTGTCAGTCACTCCTGTTGGCAGACAGCCAAAGCCACTGAGACTGATATAATTTGTCAATCAACTGGACATAATATATACGTTGAAAACTTTGCACATAGAAGAATTTTTTCTAATACCTTATGAACATTCACAATTCAAACACATAACAAATATCAATTCCAATTATATATTTATACAACACTACATTCAGTGAACAAGACTGCAGACCTCTTGCAAAATCACTTTAACTCTTTTCCTCTTTACTGCAAGTTTTGCCCAAACTTTACTAGGTACTTTTTTACAGGTACACACCAAAGAACTTTAACACAGGCACTTCAGGAGTTTCAAGGTAACTGCCAGAAACAGCTAGACATTTTACACCCTTGGCTGGAAGCTCATGGAATATGGTTGGTGGGGGCGGGGCACGCAGGATGCCAGGGTCAGCTGGAGCAGCAGGGAAAGAAAGATGGGTGGGCTGGGCAGCCCCAGCAAGCACAACTTTGCACTTACTTTTGGTTTTACCTGGTCTTTTGCTCGACCTCACCAAATGAAATAATAATAATAATAACAATATCAGCCTAGATAAATGAACTTATAATTTATATAAGGCACCAATCTGATGGCTGGTTTCAATCTTCTGCTGCTTAACCTTCCAAAAATTTACCAACGTGTAGTATATGCTATCAGATCCCAGGTAATCTATCTTCTCCCATAGCCTGGCTCACTCGGCCTGTGAACAGGTAGGACAATGAGTAAATCTTTCCTATTCCTATCCCTTCCTGTTTCAGTAGGATCATGAAGCTCCCATCCTCTCCTGCTCCAGGAAGATGGCCTATGCAAGGTCACCAAGGCAGAGATGATGCCCTACAGACATCCTGCAAGTATCTAAAGGTAAGATCATCCCCTTCTGTCACCAGCCTGTTCTTCCTCTGTTCCATACACACAGTGTCAGCATTCAAATGACCATAAGTTTAAAATTCAGAAGTTCAATTTTTATCCCTCCCTCTTCCTTGCCCTATACACCTCTGGGCTCTCTCACTCACATCTTGCTTTTTCTGTCCCCATTGTCATTCTCTTACAGAGTTTATTTCCTCTAATCTGAATTACTGCAATAATCTCTTAACTAGTCTTTCAAATCCATAGCTCGCTCTTCTCCAATCCATTTTATACACTGCTGCAAGATCAACTTTTCTTTTTTTTTTCTTTTTTGTCTTTTTTCGTGACTGGCAACGGATCGCAACCCTCAGTGTCGCGCCCGCACCGGACCGGGACCGGCAACGGGATCGCAACCCTTGGCGCTGCCCCCGCTCCTCGCTCAGCCAGTGAGCAGCCAGTCTGTATGTGGGATCCGAACCCTCGGCGGGAGCGCCGCCGCGCTTCCCAAGCGGCGCACTGTAGCAGTGCGCCACCGGGCCGGCCCCAAGATCAACTTTTCTTAAGCACAGCTCTGATCATGACATTCCTCTGCTCAGAAAATTTCAGACTAAAAGGCCAAATACTGGAGCCTCCCAGTCACATCCTGGTCCCAGCTCACCTTTCTAACCTCATTTCCTACTTGGTACTTGGAGTAAAAAGACCTGTGTTTGAATCCTGGATTTGCTACTTACTAGACATGTAATGGAAAAGTCAATTAAATTTTCTGAACCTGTTTCCTCATCTGTAGGATGAAAAAAAAATACTGTTTACCTCAAAGAGTAAAGTTAAAAAGGTATTTGTGAAAGCTCTTTGTAAACTCTCTAAGGACCTACTGTTATTTACTATTTGTGAATTCTATGCTCTAATTAAACTCAGCGACTCAGTATTCTTCATGTCTTTGTTCATGAAATTTTTCCTTTTGCCTGGAATACCCTCTCCTCCCCATTTCCACATGTCCCAGTCCTTCATATCTCAGCTCGAGTGTCCCCTCCTCCACAAAGCCTTTCCTAACCCTCTTCTTCCTGATAAACTGGAAGTCATTTCTCCTTCCTCTGAACTCCCACAGCACTTGTGTGTATCTTTGCTGTTATATCACTTTCTTTTTTGTTGTTATACAAAGCATAAACCTTCTCTGCATGTTCTATCTCCCATACTAGAAGAGTAAATCTGTGTTGTATTCATTTTTGTATGTACCACAGTGGCCTTGCGCACAGTGGGTGCTCAATAAATATTTGTTGAATGAAAGGTTCATTAGAAAATTAATACATAAGTGGAGAAAACTGTTCAAGGAAAATCCAAAATAAAAGCTTTGCATTATCAGCTATCATTCTGTTCTCCTTTTTTCCTATTATTACTATTATCACAAATAGTTGTGATTTAGTTTTTAAATCTGTTTGCATATATGTATACATACAGGTATGTGTATGTGTATAACATACATACATACTCACACTCACACTGGATTTCTTGGGCCAGGCTTAGGTCCTTTAAGTTAATGCTTAAGACAAAAATCATATATATTCAAAATTATAAACTGAAAATTAATTAAATCACCTATAAAGTACAGTACGCACACTACACCATGGATACAGATGGCTTTGCATAGTGCAATTGTAAGGGAACAACACATATCTGTTTCCCATCTCCCATTATGTAAATTGTTAATTTTCCCTCTTTTTGTCTTTTTTGGTAAGTTACATGCACAGAGATCTTATTCCACTCTGCAGAGGTTGACTTGAGGTACAGTGCCAAAACTTAAAGATACAATCCCTGTTCTCTAGCACTCAAAACACATCAATGCCACTTTTTCCTGTGCCTTCTAATTAAGTCATACATATTGTAAAACACTAGGTGTTAAAGTCAAATTAATCATCAAAATTCTCTACCACCCTTACAAATAACTCTCCCGACTGTCTCCTGCTGCCCACAGACTTCTTGCCCAAACTCTGAGGGCATGGCCACCGCGACAGATTAAATGGAGGCTGGGGCTCATCTGGAGAGCTTTGAAACCATTTTCAAGATTTTGTTTTGAGCTACTTTCCCCCATAAATCTCTCTCCCGTCTTTCAATTTTGGAAGCAGTTATAACGTGCTGTGTATGCTGGCGCACTTTGTGCAAGACTGCTTTTCTCCTTCGCTTTTCACACAGTATTTAGCACACTGCTGCAAAAACTGGTATACGCGGCTTCAAGGGATCAACCGAAAACGCTTTAAAAGCAAACACCGGTAGAGCGAGAGGTTAAGTCCTCAGTATTCATTCCAGCGGTGTGAGGGCGCTCGTGGACCACGGACCCAGCCCTCCGCAGTCACAGGGAGCCAAATGCACTCGTGTCATCTCTTAAGAGATGTCCCATCATTCCTAGACTTTCGTGTCTCAAAAGTTAAAGAACTCCGTTTTCCAGACCTTTCCCCATGACCCTACCCGGTCCTCTACAATGCTCCTTTGCCAGCTTGGCGTCCTCCGTCAGTCACCAGCCCCTATGGAACCCACTTGCCTCGAGGCCCGATGTTTTTACGCATCTCCTTCTGATTATTAACTAAGCTATCCTAAAGCGCCCGGAACATCAAGAGCCGGAGAGAAAAACTACACGGGAGTCTTAACCCTTCGGACACACCTTGTTTCCTCAGCGTTATTCGCGGAACCCCGTCCCCTGAGAGAGAGTCGTCCCTCCTTCTCCGCCTGCCGAGCCGGGGCCAGTCTCGAGGCCCCCACCCCAGCCCCGGCCCGCCCGACGCGGTTCGGCGCATTCCTCTCGCGTCCGCGGCACCACGCTGGCACCACTGCCTCGGACGACCGCGGCCGGGCCCGCCCTCGCCACTCACCTAGCAGCTCCGCGATGGCACTGAAGGGTCGCGTGTGGCTGCTGGAGTTGCTCTGTAGGTAGCGGGGGCTCATCTGGGGGCGAGAGAAGGTCCCGTCCCGCGTGAGGCCTCGGCCCACCGGGCCCTCCCC